AACTGCCGCTGGGACACCCGGACAGCCACGTGGAAAGGTGGACACCTGCCTCACACATGCACAAAAATTAACTCAAAATGGATCCAGGACCTGAACATAAGCGCTAGAACTATAAAACTCTCAGAAGAAAACATGCGGGTAAATCTTCATGACCTGAATCGCACGAGAGTTTTTTAGACGTGGCCTCTAAAGCCAAGCAACCAAAGGAAAAACAGATATACTGGACTTCATAACATTAAACACTTTTGTCCCTCAAAGGACACTACCAAAAAAGTAAAAAGAGAATCTACAGAATGGGAGAAAATATCTGCAAACCACATATCTGATAAGGGCCTAGCATCCAGAATGTATAAAGGACACTTACAACTCAACAATAAAAAAAAAATCCGAATTAAAAAAAATGATTTAAATAGACATTTCTCAAAGAAGATAGAGGAATGGCCAATAAACAAGATGTTCCACATCACTAGTCATCAGGGAGATGCGAAGAAAAAGTACGAGACACCACCTCGCATCCATAAGGACGGCCACGCTCAAAAGGACAAGAAACAGGTGTTGTCGCATGGAGAAATGAGAAGCATCGTACGTGCTGGGGGGAATGGAAAATGGTGCAGCCACTCTGGAGAATAGTTCAGCAGCCTCCAAAAAGTTAACATAAAGTTACTATACGACCAGCAATTCTGTGTCTAGGTATATACTCAAGAGAAGTGAAAACATGTTCACACAAAAGCCTGTATGCACATATTCATAGCAGTGTTATTCATTAACAGCCAAAAAAAAAAAAAAAACAATGGCCATCTCCTGACGAACAGATAAACAAAATGTGGTACAGTCATACAACAAAATTTTATTTGGTCATAAAAAGGAATTAAGTACTGATACAAATGCAAACAGAAATGATTCTTGAAAACATGCTAAGTGAAAAAAGCCAAATGCAAAAAGCTGCAAGTTACATGGTTCCACTTACATGAAATGTCCAAAACAGGCAATTCCATACAGAAGGTAGAGTAGGGCTTGCCAGGGCCTGGGCAAGGAGAGGACGGGGAGCCACTGTTAATGGATGTGGGGTTGCTTTTGGGGGGATGAAACATTCTGGAACTAGATAGTGCTGTCACAAAACCTTGTGATATATTAAAAAGTTAACTGCACACTTCAAAGGTGAATTGTGTAACATATCACAACTTAAAAGTGAGGTGCAACTACAAGAAGGAGCTCAGGATGCACATTATAACATGTGTGCAGTCAAACAGATATGACAGAAAGCAGTTGGTTTGAAAATCCCCACTGGACATGGGGGCTTACTTTCATAACAACAAATATGAAAATAACTGAACTGTATTACCATACTGGATACTGGTGCTTACTTTCATAACAATACAAAAATAACTGAATCTTATTGCCAGCAACATAAAAAAATTTAAGGGAAAAAACTAATTTGATTTCCATGAAAAACATTCAAGGGTATTTGCTTTCTTCCTAATATCTCAGCTGGCTGGAGGCTGAGCTCCCTAGAGCAGACACGAGAACCTCAGCGTCAGGTGTGCCGATGGCAAACACACCTTGTGCACGCACAGTGTGCAACAACCCAAGCCTTGGACACACTGCCTCTGCTGAATCCTAAATGGATTCTCTACCAGCAAACTGTCACTGCAGATGAGCATTCCACTGTGATGATGACAAAATAACAGTATTACCCTTTGCAGCATTATCTTTTAGGGGCTTTTTTATTGGAAATCACACTAAATTCTTACTCTCATTAATGCTTCCTTAATTTGCTGACATCACAAAATAACATTTTTTAAGAAAACATAGTTGATCTCTGTATGAAAAGAAATTTCTATACATAAAAAAATCAAAAAGATTCATCTTTCAATAAATCAAAAAGAAAAGAATTAATTGGTAGATAACATAAAATTATTTTAAAGTCAATAAATTCAAAGCTATTAAAAATTAAAGGAAAAGGCAACTGTGGGGAAATGCTCCATGATAAGCACAGGTTAACATTCCTGTTCCATCGAGAGTTCACACCAATCAGTGTCTGGCCAAGTCAGTGCCCCCAGTGACCCCCTCCTTGTCTGTACAAAAAGCCCTGCAAGGTTCCTCTAAAAAAAGGTTCCAGCTTCTTTCTTCCAGGTTCAGGATCACTCTTGCCTCCTACCTGGATGCCCTCTTTTCTCCCGTCCAGTTACAATGAAGGTTCAGATGCACCGACAGTCAGCCTGGTCTTCATCTCCGATTTCCCCCAAGACCCAGCCTCTGAAACACTGTCTACATTGTTCTGTAGCCTGCAGGCAAGTAACAACTCGCCCCAGGCTCCAGGGATACCTCAGGCAATAAATTCCAGCCAAAGCCCAGCATACTGGCTCCTGCCTGGGCTGGCAGAGGCAGAAATCAAACAATTAAACAACTGGTAAGAAAAAACTGAGACGCCAATATAAAAACCATCATAGAGTTTATGCGAGTCATTCACAGAAAAGAAATATCTAATAGCTAACAGCAAGATTTGTTAATGCTTAACCACAGTAATAATGAAAGACGTGAATTAAGGAGGTACTATTTTTACCTGTGATATTCATGAAGATTGTCTTTAAATAACAGTGCTAACACGGGCGTCAGAAACCGGGTGGCAGGGTGATGAGGTAGGACAATCTTTCTGAAGGCAGCAACACATTTCAAGAACATTCGCAATGAGCCTTCCCTTTGACCCTGTAACTTCATTTTTAAGAAATGATCTTCAGTAATTAAAAACCCAATCAAAAGATTTAAATACGAAGATGTTCACCTCGACTTTTTTGTACTTGAGACAGAAATATCCAACCATAAGTAAACTGTGGCTCATCCACAATGTGGATTATGGTAGAGCCAATAAAAAGGATACAGCTGACCCTCCTACAGCACTAAGGACCACTCACCGCTTTAAGGAGTGAACAGGTATTAATTCATTTACTCCTCGCAACAGCACCAATGGAACCTGCGAGCGAGGTAGGTGCCAGTCCCATCTCTGTTCCTCAGCTGAGGCATCTGAGGCCCAGAGGAGCACAGCGGTTGATTCCCGGCTATGGTGGGACGGACTCACATGCCCTCATCTGAATTCCAAAATTCAGCAAGCTCTCTGATAACCAAGTGTTCTCATAAACTTGCGGCAAATTCAAAACCTGGCCTGAACTGATGTGAAACTATGTACAGTCTTCACTTATTCCATGTAGAGTGAAGTCATCTTACAAATTACTATTTTATTACAGGTGCTGCCTCAGACCTCACTAGAAGTGATACTGTAACACACTGTTATCTTTTCTATAATCTGAAAAATTCTGAATATTAAAACACAGCTAGGCCCACAGGTTTCAGATAAAAAAATGCAGTGGAGCTGAAATTCAAATCTAAGTACCTGTCTGTCTGGCTCTGGAGTCTGGCTCTTGGCCAGTATACAACATTTTCAGAGGCTGTTTGATGATATGGCAAAATGCCTATGATTCAAACAGTCAAGCGCTCATTAACTACACACTATGTACGCGCCAGGCACACACAGAGAAATAAAACTGCCTTCCTGACAAGTGCTCCTAAGAAAAAATAACCGGTGTCAGGAAAGCCTAGACCCTAAGGGGGTTCATTCTAGACAGAGGGGTCAGAGGCAGTTTTCCTGAGGAAACATTTGATCTGAGATGGGAAGGATGAGCTATTTTAGACTACAGAGAAGAGGGAAGAGCGTACCCGGCAGGGAGAAGGGCGTATGCGAAGGCCTGTAGTAGGAAGAAAAATGGTGACAAAGGACTGAAAAAGAGCAAATATAACGAATGCAGGGAACCCGAGGAGCCTGGAGAACAGGAAGGTGCCACAGGGCCTTCCTTACAGGTACAGCAACCATTTGCCCCCATCTGCCTGATGGACAGTCCCAGTGTAAACACAGGCAACCTCGTTTACTCTCAAAAATACCTCGAACTGGATAATAAAGTACATGGTCACCCACTCTAGAGACCACATTAAGGAGTTGTATTTTTAACCTACAAACAACAAGAAGTCTTAATGGATTTTAAGGCAAGGGGGCAGGGGAATTATAATTAACTTTTAATTTTTAAAAGATTACTCCGGCTGCAGCACAAAGAGATGGGGATACTTAAGACCATGTCAATATCTAGAGACCAGTGAGGAGGCTACTTATAGGAGACTCAGCAAGAGACATTGGCGGCTTGGTCCAGAGTGATAGTGGCAGGGACAGAAATAACTGTAAGTGGATGGATTTGAGATGGATTTGATGATAAAATGAACAGACTGTGATGGTGACTTGGATAGGGAAGGAGATGGAATGGCGGATGTCAAGGATGCGTCCAAGACTTCTGGCTTCCAAACCAGATGGATGATTCAGAGACAGGAGCAGGAGAAATTTAACGGGCCAGAAATTTAAACGTGTGAGATACGTGCATGCCGGTTGTAATTTGAAGAATAAGCCTGGAAGAATGTATAAAACAGAGAGGGAAAGCTTAGGTTCAAAGTGTGTTGTTTCTTTCCATCCTCACAGCCCTCTCCAACGCACGACCGCCCAGTTTTCTGGCTGGACACTGGGGCTGCTTGGTGGTCAAACAAAAAAGGTCCTCTGGCTGATCTGCGCCCAGGACTATCACCCCACTTGTAGCACGCACCTATCCCTTACACCTAACTCTCAAGTGTTTTACATTTAGTGGTCACGAAGGAGTTTCACCTGCCGGCTCCTTGAAGCCCGGAGTTCTGTGAGAAACTATCTGCATTTACAGATGAGGAAACTGAGGCAGAGTGCTTAAATCACCGGTCCGCTGGCCAGTGAGAGCCGGTGAGGGCCTCGCTATATCCTGGTATGTGCATCCACTGTGAAAAGGGGCCCCATTAAGTGCTGTAAGAAAGGGCTACCGTTGTATGAGGCCCTACTACGTGTCAGGCCCGTTAGGAGATTTTTAAAAGACAGAAAGGAAGGAAAAAACCAACTTGAAACCTTTTAGGATGGGTTAATTTTTCCCAATCACACTTACCCTATAGTAAGTTCGCCTTAAACTTTGAAAAAAGGTCAGATCCCAAGACGGGGTGGAGGTGAGAGGTGGAGACGAACCAGGGCAGCCAGGGACGACCCCAAACACCGGCCGGGGAAATCAGGGTCCCAACGGCTCGGCCCCCGCAGACGGCAGCAGGGGAGCGCGGGCCCAGACCTGCTCCCTCCGCGGCTGGGCCGCCAGCCGACCCGCAGCTGGAGGCCCAGCGGCCCGTTTGCCGGCGCGTTGCTATAGCAACGGCCGCGTCCGGCCGCAGCCCGGGACTCCCTCCCGCTCGCTCGGAGCCCGCCCTGTGCGGCGACGCCAGCTGCGGCTCACCCTCGCCGCCGAGAGCGCTGGTCCCCGACCTGCGTGCACACCTGGCGCAGGTGGTCGCCGGGCCCGGACTGCGGCACCTAAAGCCACTTCCAAGCCGGCGGAACAGCCGCGGGAAGAGGCGGACGGGGGCCGCGCGAGGACAAAGCTCCTTCTACCCACCGACCCCCACCAGGAGCCTGCTTGCCCCGGCTGCGATCCCGAAAGCAGCTCCTCTTAGGGCCTAACCGGATCATCCTGTCTCCAGGACAGAGAAGCAGCCCCAGTGACACGAAATTAAAACTTCCAAACAGTGGAATCATCACTGTATTGGTGATGGCTGGGCCAATATTTGCCCCCAGGACCCGAGGTCTGGTCTGGGCGCCAGTGGGACCTTGTGTTACAGTGGGTTCAGAAGTAGCCTAAAAAGACAGAAAAATGAACCGGATGCAGTGTGGAGGGGAGCCCGAGGAGGGAGGGTGTTTGTCCCCACCGAGGGGGCTGAGAAGACTCCTGCCAGACCAAAAGACAATTCCGGGAGAGGTACTTTAGCTACAAACTTCTGTGAAACCTTGTGACTGCAGCCTCCCTCCACCCCACCCCCTCCGCTGGAGGCTGCAATACCTACTGCTCCCGCGGGTTGCTAATGTACTGACTGCTTGACCCGGACTAGGAATAATTTATGTGGGCGTAGGCCCTGCTCTCTAGCAGCTGTGGGGACGAAATTCAACTCTCCCAATACTAGCCTAATTATTTGAGGCCTATAGCCTGTAAAATTTGATTGATAACCAATCACTTGGGACAGCAGGCCTATTCATTTAATTGCTTGGAGGTAGGGGTACATTTGGCAACTGGTTCATCCTGTCCGGTTCACCGGAAAACTCAAAATGGCCTTGGTGGGCGAGCACAAATAATCCCCATCATGTCCTCTACTGTAGAACTTGGGGGTCTTGGCTAGAGGGTGTTTTGTTTTGTGTTTTGTTTTTCCTGGAGAAATACAGAACTATTGTCTAACAAGGGTCTGGAAGAGTTTACAGGGATTTTCTCCTTGGCCCTTCTCCCAACCCCACCTCCATGGAGCATGAGGGTTAGCAGACTGTGTCCAACAAAAGGAGATACACTCCGCCATCTGCTTCAAGCTGTGAAGTGTATGGATCTGCCTTTAATCAGCAGCTGTGAAAGAAGCCCTACAGTCCACATCTTTACCAAGAAATAACTTTGAACTGTTCACTTCCTAATGCTTATCAAAAGTCTGGCTGAGAAAAACTGCAGTTATGGAGAACTATTTGAAAGGCACGCGGACGACCCCACGTCTATATGTTGATACATAGTCTTTGGGTCAGTGAGTCCTAAACACCGCTATGTAGCCTAGGCGTCTGGGGAGTTCTGTTGTCGCTTTATTTTGTGTTGAAATACAGATTCACAGGTTACACTTCCAGAAATTCTGATTAAATAGATCCCATTAAACCATTTTAAAAAGGTTTTCAAGCAAGTTTGGTACAAAACCAGTTGGAAATCACTGGTCCGTAATTTATTCTGAATTAAGCCTGATCATCAAAAAGCTGCGTGTTCGTACCACTGTCTCCACCTGAGCAAAGCTGCTGTCATACTTTACCCTTATGCCATATGTTTACCCTTAAAACATATTAGAGATCATGTTTTAAAAAAAAACTTCTATTTACTAGAAGGGTTAATAATGATCCTTATCACATCTCTGTAGTAGAATCCTACCAGATTGCCCGGTCCAGAGTTTTTCAAATTTTTTGGACCATAACCCATGAAAAGAAATATGTTTTACATTATGACTCAGCACACATGTGCCTATACATTTAATAACTTAAACAAGTTTTACATAATATTACCCATCCTACACATGCTAATACCTTTTATCTCTTTTTAGTGCTGGTTTCCACCTTTTAAATGGTTTTTTGACCCCTAGATGAATTACAAGTTGCATTTTAAAAACGGCAGTGTAGACAGATACCGTTTTCTGGAAACAAGCCCCGGATCCTCCTATAAGGGGACTGGGCAACCCGGCTGCCATTGATTGCTCCAACAGCAGGCACCCGACTCAGGCCAAGCCAGCCCTATCCCTCCCCCAGGAATCTGGAATTGGGACTGAGAGATTTCAGTCTTTCTCTAGGTAGCTAACACATTAACATAGAACATCACAACATAGAGAGTCGGGAGCTGTCCACAGATGTGTTTTCTGGCCTGGAAGAAAGCAGAAAGCCAATCTGCAAGAAAAATGTGAAAAGAACAAGAAGGATCCACAAAGGAGAGAAGCAAAGAGTTCTGACAGCTTCCCACCCCTGATCTAGTATTTCCTGAAATGGGCTGCATTCCTGCCTTTGAATCCCACATAATATTTCAAATCTTTATAATAAAGTGCCCTCTTTTGCTTAAGCTAGTTCAAGTGGCTGGGTTACTGTTATTGCAACCAAAATGAATTTAATTACATTGATTTTATATGGCTGTTGTAATAAATTACCATAAATTTGGTGACTAATATAATCACTCTATATCCCTTACAGGAAGGTCCATGGAAGAAATGTATTTCAATCCTGAGTGCCAAAACAAAAAATCTTTCTCCTTATGAAAAACTGACATCTCTTTTCTTAAAAAAAAAAAAAAAAAAAAAAAAAGCATACCTTGAAATTCATCACATTTTCCTTTTCACCTTGGCTTCCAGGAAGCCAAACTGACAGCTCAACTTTAATAACTTTGTCAAACTGTGTCTTGCATACAGGCATTACAACTTTCTCCTGCTCTCTACCATTTCTCATTGTATTGGCTGAATTAGTTCAAGCTGAGTTAAATATTTTGCACTTACTGCTTCCCATGCCTGCAGGGCTCTGCTCCTATACCTCCACAAGACTGGTTCTTTTTCATCGTTCAGATCTCAGCTCACTTGCCACCTCCTCAGAGAAGTCTTCCCAGATCACTGTATCTAAAGCAGTCCCACCCCACAGTCTATCACAATAACCTGCTTTGTTGTCTTAGAGCACTTAAAACCAGCTAAAACAATCTTATTTCCTTTCTTCCCTTGTCGAAGTTGAATTCCAAGCCAATGGGGACCCAGTCTGTTTGCTGCTTATTCCCAGTGCCTGAGACAGTGCCTGGCACTTAGTAGCCATTTAACAAAAACCATGGCATTGGTACATGAAAGAATGAATGGAAGAAAGGAAGGGAGGGAGAGAGGGAGGAAGGGAGAAAACAAAAAAGGGAGAGGGGAAGGGACAGAGAGAAGGAGGGAGACTTTGTAGAATACGGTGAGAGTTAAATAGATGGAAAGATAAATAGGTGGGTAGATAGCCTGACAAATAGACAAATGTTCATTTCTAGTGTGTAAATGTCACTAACATTTGTATAGAGAAATCAGAGAAGCCACACAAAGAGGTAAAAAACACAACTCCCTAAAATATGTACATAGAGGTACTGGGTTTACTTGAGGAACCCTTTGTGTAAAAGCCTTAGACAAAACCTTTTTTTTTAAGTTTTCAAGTGGCTCAAATATTAAATATTATGGCTAGTTACCACAGCTAAAGTCACTAATTCTCAGTGAAATAATGGGTTGCAACATCAGGCCCACCGACCTGGCAAACTCCTGATACGGCCAAGGAAACGCAGTCTATTGCAGGGGTCACTCCCACACAACAATCTGCTCTCATTCCATTCCTGTAACATCAATGTCCCCACTGGCAACAAGAGTTATACACTATTGACTGGAACACTCTGTGGTAATGTCATTGTTACAGTGCAATATCAAGTTGCTCAACACTTGAGGAAGAGAGAACAGATTGAAGTTTGTCACTATAACAAAACAGAGAAGCAATCAGTGCCATTCGTTCCAGGTCTGCCGACCCTGCTGGTAAAAACACCGGAGCGTGATGGGTGCCGGGGGGGACGGAGCTTGGTTTTTTTAAGTCCAGAAACAGTTGATTTATGCATTAACTAAAATTTATCTCTCATATTCAAAAGATTTTTAAGAGATTCCATGTCACAAAAAACACCTCGTAATTTTTCTGTCCTATTAGCTAACTTCAGAGATGTTTAGACTACACGTTACATTAAGATTTCTTAAAGAAGAACATGTCTTTCAAAAGTATATATTGCAAAATGTAACTTTTTCCTACTGAGGTCTGTCTTTGATTACTGGTAGGTTTTACCAATTTATGCAAGTCTTTCTACTTTTCTCTTCTCCTACCCTGGCTATAAAAAAATAAGTAAAACTGAACCTTACGTCTATAGGTCAAAATGAAATAAACATTTGGCAAGTAATCCAGTTTGTCTCATCAACTATAAATATCTGACCCAGCTTCAGTGTCAGATAAAGTTAATTAGAGGTCAGGTTAGTGCACACCAGAGCTAAATTAATTTATCATAAATTGGAAGACTTGATATTAAGATGACAATGATCTCCAAATTTTTATACACACACATATATATCTACAAATATGTATTTTCTTGTCTTAATAATTTATTTCCCTTTTGATAATTATTGAAACAAACAGCTCTGCTTTCTGAGATACTTGAGAGGTTTACCACGCAGAAAAAACAACTTTGGAGTTTTCTTCTCCCTTTGTGTGTCTCATTACTCTGCTGGATTCTTAGTTCAAACAAAGACTTGTCTCATTTAAAGTATTCCCTATCATTAAAAATTATATTCTATTAATTACTTAGCCATTTTCTATAGGATTTTTGTTTTCCTAATGTTCTATTATAAATCTTGATCACATCTAAAAATAACATAAAATAAATAGCATGAAGTTAAAATAGCATAAAAATAACAAATTCTTAATACCATCAAATATTCTGACAGTGTTCAGCTTTTCCCAACGGTCTTCTGCTATTTTTAGTTTGCTTAAACCAGGATGTAAGTAAGGTCCCTTCTTCGAAGTTGGTTTACATGCTTTTTAAGTCTTCTTACAGGTCCCCCCTCCGGCTCACTTCTTCCCCCTTGTGATATATTTGTTAAAGAAACAAAGTCATTTGTCCTGTGAGTTCTCATAGACTGGATCATGTAGATTATATCCTTGTGATGTCATTTAAGCTGTTCCTCTACTCTTGGCATTTCCTGTCCATTGGGAGCTTCATCTGTGAATTGGTAGTTTTAGCTTTAGAGGTTTGTTTAGATTCAGATTCTTCTTAGTTTGGGAACACTTTACAGGTGATACTGTGTTCTTCAGTCAGGAGATCTGTAACGTCTGGATGTCTCTCTCCTTGTGATATGGGTAGCCAGCAATGGTCATCGCCCAGATTCCTTAATTCATTGGGGACCAGAAAATGGTCACATTCCAACCTATTAATCCTTCTGTTATTAGCTGGGATACTTCTGAAAGGGTAACTTTACCTCATCAACTACGGTCAAACCTCAGTTCTTGAACATTCTGGTTCTCGAAAAAAATCAATTCTCGACCAAGCTGTTCACGAAAAAAAAATGTCTGTTGTTTAACAAAACTTCGGGTCTCAGTTCTCTACTGGACAACATTTCCACACTGAGACCTGTAGGATCAGTCACTTGTCTCTCAGGCAACAAATAAAGGAGATTCGGTTTTCGAGCAAAGCACATCTCCAACAGTTGCCTGGGATGAAATTGGAGAAGCAAGGTTCCACTGTATTTGGTTACCCAGAGCTACACTTCATATAGGAAAGAAGATGAATACTTCGTGAACCTAACTAATAAACTTAAAAATTCACAGAGGCACCACCCTGGCCCAGCCTCTCCCGTGAAGTGACATGCCAGAGGGACTCACTGTAAGTGGGGGGAGCAGAGCACACCATAAGGACGAAGGCTTCCGCCAGCACCAGGCTTGTCCATGGGCCAGGGTGGGGCTGAGGCTGTGGAGACCGAGCTTCCTCCCACAGAGTCCTTTGTTTTCTCCATGAACACAGAGCCTGCAGAGTGGAGACCAGGGGTAGAGAAACTGGCAGGAAGCAGTGTATTAGAGCAGCGGCTTTCCTCTTTTTTCCCTTTGTCAAATAAAAAAACGACAACGACCAACCCAACAGCTGCCTGGTGTGAATGCAGTCTTGAATCATAAACAAAGTTGCATTTTATTGGTCACATCACATAATAAGGTTGTGAATGATTGCTTAATTCTTGGTACCAGAAGTCCAAGTATAGGCACCTGACTTTTTAAAAAGTCATTTTTGCCTTGGCTGGTATGGCTCAGTGGACTGAGCACTGGCCTGCAAACCAAAGGGTTACTGGTTCAATTCCCAGTCAGGGCACATAACTTGGTTTTGGGCCAGGTCCCCAGTAGAGGGTGCTTAAGAGGCAACCACACAATGATGTTTCTCCCCCTCTCTCTTTCCCTTCCCCTCTGTCTAAAACAAATAAAATCTTTTTTTTAAAGTCATTTTTTAGTAAAAAAGGTAGGTAATTACTATAATATTTCTTTTTCTATAATAGGTATAATAATATTTCTTATACCTATTTTTTTTCTAAAGATCATATTTTTTAAAGATTTTATTTATTTATCTTTAGAGGGTAAGGGAAGGAGAGAGGAAGAGAAACATCAATGTATGGTTGCCTCTCATGTGTCCCCTGCTGGGAACTGGCCTGCAACCCAGGCATGTGCCCTGGCTGGGGATCGAACCACGATACTCTGGTTCCCAGGCCCGTGCTCAATTCACTGAGCTACACCAGCCAGGGCAGTATTTCTTATACCTATTTTTTTGGACAGGTAGGCAAAAAATATTTTTTATGGTGTGCCACAGAATTACAGTAATTAGTGTAATTAGTGTATGTGTGCCATGAGAGGAAAAGGTTGAAAATTGGTGTGTTAACAGTATAGGCCTAACTGCTGGAACAACAACATAAAAAGACCCCAAAATAAAGGGGCTTAAAAGATAAAAATGTATTTCTTTCTCAAGTAGTAGTCCAGGAAGTAAGCAAGCAGGCAGTTCTAGGCAAGTTCAAGGTGGGTTCAAGCAGATGGCACTGCCTCACGAGACTGTCAAGGAACTGAGGTTCCTTCCAGCTTCTAGTGCCACCATTCTCTAGGATGTCACCCATCTGCAGGACTGAAGTAGAGACCAGAAGTTGATCTATGTTTTTGTCTGAAGAGTAAAGAGAGAGGAAGTGGAGAACAAGCGATTTCATTTAAAACCTGTTGTCGTAGACATGACTGCTTCTCACGATGGACCAGCTATGGCTCATTCATAAGGCAACATCCAGCTGTAGAGAGGGGCGGGAAGGTGGGGAAGGGAGTTATTACAAAACTAGGGAGCAAATGGATACCGACAATCAGCAGGCTCCGCCACAGGTGGAAACTGGCCTCTAGGGGCTGATCACTCTCTCAGCTCCCAAGCCCTGTCCTGGGCAAGGCTTCCGGGGGCTCCTGGCTGCAGGAGGAGGCCCTCGCCCCCAGCTCCACGGCCCTTGACCAGGGCTCTTCCCAGAGTCCGCACATTCTCATTCTAGGAGGCCCTGCAACACACACCAAGCATTAAACTGCACCTACAGCCTGCAGTTAATCTGGTCTCTACTGCCAATGTTGGAAATTGTCTTTATAATACTGCCTTTTAAATTATCTGTCTAGGAGCAATTCGTGGAATTGGCAGTTGGCTCAGGCTTCTTAGCAATCAATCGTCTTCTGAATGAAGAAGTTCTTGTGAAGTAAAAAACCATAACCTACAAACTGTTATCAAGTGCAATAAAATTTTTATAAATTATAAAATTAACAATTAATGGGTTTAACATAAGTTTATAGATATTCAATTAGACATTTATTCTTTAAGTTTTACCATCTTTAATTTTTTAGCATTTACTTTCATAGGCCCCTTGAAAAACTCTAAACTACTAATTATTTTCAAGTGTAATAAAATTTTTATGAAAACTGTCATAAAATGACAATTAATGAGTTTAACATATGGTATAGTTTATAGACATTTAATTGTATATTTATTTAGGTTTTGTCATTAAAAATTTTTTATAACATTTTTATCGGGCCCTAGATACTCTGCCTGGACCGCCCAGTGGGTAAAACAGTCCAGAGGCCACGTACGCGGGACGAGGGGGTGTGCCTCAGACCTGCCTGCCAGGTCCATCATATAAGTAGTAAGGGCAAAATATAGTTAGTACTATAATATAATTAGTAAGGACAAAACAGCAGAGCACTCCGACCAGGTAAGGGGAAAGTTTCAGGGACCTGGACCAGTCTGGGAAGGGGCGGGGGACCGGGAATGATTTCCAGGTCTCATCTTGAGCATTAAAAGCAGTGATCATCCCTCCTTGAAACACAAACTTCTCTGACACCACACGCCCGATTTCTTTCTGACATCCCTGGCTTCTGAGATCGGGAATATGCAAGGAAGAACCAGAGGATGGCTGGTGTCCCGGGTGACACTGAGACACCCAAATGAAGGTGTCCAACAGACCACAGGACAGGGGGTCCGGAACTCCAAGAACAAATCCGGGACTTTTACCAGATTCTCTGAGACTTCTGCATCAATTAGGGTGCTCAGTTGCGAGTAAAAGAACCCAGTCCTGGCTAATTGAATCAGAAAATGAGTTTTGGAAAACACTTTTTTAGGCAGTTCACAGAATTGCTGGGAAGGCCAGAAAATCAAACTAAGCTAACTAGTCTGCTGCAGAAATTGTCGCTGCCACCAAGCACCAGGTGCTTCAACTTGTTTTGCTGCTGTTGCTGCCGCTGCCATGGAAACCCCACCTTGATGCCACCAACACTGCCACCAGGAAGTCTCTGTGGGCCCAGCTTTTTTTTTTTTTTTTTTAATTACTACCACTAGACCTGTATCTTGGCTTCAAGGGATGCTGGAAAATGAAGATTTTAATACATCTAGGTTCTACAGTGAGAAGCAAGCTCTGCCCCTGACGACACCTGAGGTGCACAATTCCCTGCAAATAGAAAAGGGGTTCAGATTCTATGTAGTCAAAATGAGTGAAATCATTCGTTGTACTGTCCTTACCTTAAGTGGCTGGAAACCACTGGTGAAAAGTGGGCAGAGGGGAGAGCCAAGACTAGGCAACTAGGAAGTATCACTATATAGAGCACATTCTTAAAACACTCAGTGCCCGCAAGTGGCGGACATTCACAAGACAGTGTTCCCTAACCCCACCTCGGATCTGCTGCCTGCATTCTGAAGCACAGGCTGCGTCTGTGCAATCAGAAGCAGAGAGCCGAGTTCTTCCCTAGAAAGAAGGCTCCCCATACCTTGTGTTCTTAATGAGGCTGGAGTCCAGGGGCAAGAAGACCATGAAGTATGGTCAACAACCTTCACTGAAAAAACACTCCAGGACACAATTACTGGTAACAAAAAGTGCTATTTTTTATTTGTTCTTGAATGTGTAGGTCCTTTTAAGATCAGTGACACTTCCCCTTACAATATTCCTCCCTCATTCCCCCAACTAAAACTTTTGGATTCCAAGGGCTGTTTCTAGGAAAAGGCCTAGAAAGAACTCACCTAGATACCCAAGAAAGGCGTGCAGCTTGAGGAAGGGGCGGACAGCTCCGGAAGCAGCAGCAGCTACTGAAGGCTTTCCTCAGAGCAGCTCATTTTGGCCTGTGCGTCCCTTTGCCCTGCCTTGGCCAAGACTCCCCAGCTGGGTCCCACACCCAGTATTCCCTTGTTCCTTGTGTGGCCTGAACTTCAGAGTTAGAATCACCATTACCGTCTTTAGAGCTGGGGAACCTCTGGAAATCACTGCTTTCCATACCCGTCCTTGATCCGGGCCCAGCTCTATAGATAGGGAAACTGTACCCAAGGTCACGCACCCCATAACTGGCATAGACCAAACTTAGGTGTTCAACATCTCAAATGAGATTTCTCTTTACAACACCTCCCTACTTCCAAGAAAACAACATACGTTTGCCTCCAGCTCTCAGAACCGGAGCATGCAGGTGGCTATGACCCGTACAGATGGGAAAGACCTGGCTGAAGGAGGCTAGGCTGACCCCAACTGAGCCCCAAGCCAATGACAAATCACAGCACTTCTCAGTTTCACCTCCACCAGGATGTTATTGGTGGCAGACACTCACCAGGCCAGGAGTCTCCTCCTGGCTAGCAGCACCGAACCACACATGCAAACAAGTTCCCGAGCTCCTTGGACCACCATTCAACAGCAACAAACCCTAGTGCAGGAACCTGAGATGAGCTGCCCACTAGCCTGATAATCCCATTTACCAAACTGCTTCTTGGGGAGACCCAACCCATCCTTTTGGGCTGATTTAAATGGGGCCTCTCAGCAAACGAGGCTACAGTCTGTCTCTGCTGCGTTGGAAGAGACAGGGGGAGGGCCGGCAGATGCTGTCCTCCTGGCAGAGCTCATGATAAACATCGTGGCACAAGGAGAACTGGGTCCAGGAGGAGAAGCAGGCAGAAGAGAGGAGGCCAGCCGACACAGAGGGCGGGGCCAGAGCAGCAGCGGCAGTGCTTCCTCCCGCCTGCCCAGCCGCTCCAGAGGAGAGGCCAGAGAAAGCTACAGTGCGTCCCCCTGTCAAGGTCTCAACGGAGGCTCAGGCCCGCATGGCTGACAGGTAAGAGGATGATAACCCAGAGACTTGTGGTGTCCTGCAAGCCAAGAGAAGAGGGTGTTTCAATGAGGAAGTGGTAGAAGGTGTGAAATGTATAAAGTTCAAGACAGTTGAGAGCTGAAAATATCCATTTAATTTGGCAACTGCATGGTCACTGGTGACTTTTATGAAAAACTATAGAGGGTGAAGAGTGATGTGAGAGAAATCAGTGAAAAATATTCTTTTTAAAAGAAATGAAGCTGACAAGGAAAACATGTAAGAGGCAACAGCCTCTAGTAGGTTTTTAAAAAAAATTTGGGGCGGGGAGCCTGTGCTTGTTTGTGGATTATGGGAGGTAACCAATGGAGAGGGAGATTGAAGACGCTGGAGAATAAGGGCAATGCGACAAGTGACAGAGCAAACTCTCGGAGGGCATATAGCAGGGTTCAAGAAATAGGCACCAAACAGGAGCAAGAGGAAGGACAAAGACAGAGAGATGGGACAGGGGAGAAAGAAGCGGGGAAGGAAGTGGTTGCCTTGGGGCCTCTCATCCAGGAAGCGGGCAGTGAGGCCAGTCACCTGCTGGGGGCAAGGATGAATGGCATGGACTGAAAGCAGAATAATAATAAGTCGGACATACACCAATAAATACTGAGAGTTCAACTCAGGCTGTCACTATGGCTCTGCCATGCTTAGCAGCCCAGGAAGATGGAGCAAAAAACCAGGGTGGTACAGAAAATGGAGAATGGTTAACAGTTTCAGCAGAAGTTGGGGGTGATGAGAAACTTCAGGATTGTGATAAAAATGTCAGCGATGGGCCATAGGCTCAGGCTGGGGAGAGGAAGAAGTCCAGGAGAAGGCTGAAAGACTGGAAGGACAACTGAGGCCATGGAAATGGGCTGAAGGAGCAAACAATTTAAGTAAATAGCAGTGAGGGAGTAGGAGGAGAGCGAACATAGCTATGGTGATCCAAAAGGAAGGTCTCAGTCCAGGAGCTCGGAGAAGATTAAGGCGCTACCATGGATTGAGAGAGGAAACGGAGCTGAGGCCAGGAAGAAACAAGAAGGGGCTTGGTCTTAGGCAAGGACCTGTTGCCAGAAAGGGGCACGGAGAGCCAGCGTGTGCCGGGGCTGACGGCAGGGCCTGCGCACAGCAAAGGCTAGGGGCGTCCGGTGGCTGCCGCTTGGTGGCACCTGCAGAGTATGTGTAGTTGGCAACTGCTAGAAGGCAGGCAGGACCGACCTGCCCGTGTTCCGAAAGAGTGCTCTGCAAGTTCCTCAGTGTTTGCACGAAAACCTCCTTTGCATCAAAGGAAACCACTTCATCCTCCTGTCTCTCAGCACACCCAAGAAGCCCAATTTCGTCTCTAGGGTGGTATTTTGCACCATAAGAATCCAGAGGTCATTGTATCTCATTTCCTGACTTTGTCAAGGGCCAAAGAACTTGACTGACTTCAAAATGGGGCCACTACAGATCTAAGCCAAAAGTGGGATCCACTCAAACATTTGCAAAGAGCCACTGAAATCAATCACGAAGCTAATACTTTGAATTATTTTTCTAAAAAGGCATGATCTGTTTTCTGCATGCAAAAACAAAACAAAACATAACCATGACTCACAACACTGCTGCTAAGCACACAGGAAACGGCACAGAGAGGGCAGTGCTTTCAGATAACCAGTGCAGGGATAGTATGGTGGACCAGGACCTGGAACCCTCGGAGGGAAGGACACTCTGCCTCCTGGCCCTCGAGGCTCAGGTACTTAAAGGAACCTCTCGGCATGCAGGATCTCTGTAATCAGAAGGGAATGTGTGACTCCCTACTACAGTACTGAGATCCTCTGGCCCAGCAGGCTGATCCCTGGGCCCATCGTGCTATCCCCAAGCTGAAAGCTTCATTGATAGAAGGAAAGCCAAGCCTCTAACCAGGCATTTCTGCTTTATATTTGTGGTCTCCAGCTGGTCCTGGGGAAGGATCTTAATCGAGTTTGAGCTGGACACAGCCTTCACCTGGCTGCTCAACACGAAGCACCATGAAGCTCTCTCAGTGGGGGGACAGGGAGGTGTGGGAATGTGGGCCACACAAAGGAAAGATTACCAAGAGCAGGAACCAGTGAGGTAATTACAGAGGGAACCTTGCCAAGCCGACCAAACAGAGAGAAACATTCAAAAGTTGAAAGAGAAGTGGCCAGAACCTAAACCAGAAAGTCATGTGAGCCCAAGGACTGCTTTGGAGCATTAAAGACTTAGTTACCCCAACCGAGAAAACAGGGTATGGAAGCCCACCTGCTTAGGGGAGCTTGGAAGTGCTGGTGAAAGAATGGCAAGTCAATGGGCGCGCTTTGCTGTACTGGGAAGACCTGCCGGCCTGGGCGGAGAAGGAAATGAGCAGTGCCATCAACTCACAAGGAGAGAAGAAATGTTTTCTGTGATCCAAATGTTCCCATCAACGAAGACCCTACAAACAAGAACTTCCTTAGACTGCATCTCTTAGCAAAAATAAAACCATAAACTCAGACTCCTGTGAAATTAACCAAACCATGACAGGACCCCCTAGGGAGACCTCTGTCCCCTGGCAACTGAAGTGCAGGTCCACGGCTCCCACACAACATCAGCAATGGGTTCTTTCTCGAGCAAAACTTGTCTGACCAGGTGGCCTGACCTCCGGCACCCGCCTATGCCTCTTCCTCCCTAACACCCTAAATGAACCATGAAGATCCATCTGAGATGCAGCCTGGAGCTCTGCTCCTGTTCCCATGGCTTCTAGAACACTTCTCTCTGCTTTCAAGGAGAAGGAAAATCCTGAAATGGCTTCAGGGTCTTGGAAGGGCACTGGCTTTTTGCCTCCCAGGTCTCCCCTTCTCCACCCTAGACAGAACTTCCCTGTGAATGCTCAGGCCTGGCTCCTGCCAGTCCCCCTGGCTCTCTCCAACCTCCAACAACAAAAACAAGAGCTACCAGTAGAAGCGTGGCTTTTTCTGGGCTGTGGAGAGCCCACGGGCAGGCAAGTCGGAGGACTCCCTTCCGATCTTTGGCTCTGTGAACGTGGCCAGATTGAGGACTAGAATCTCGAAGCAGGAGGAGAGGCCCAGCGGAGTGAGCTGGCTGTGATCACTCTCCTTGCCCAGGAAACTAGTTGTCCCTAAAGCAGCTGTCTCAGCTTCCCAAGCAGAACCTGGGATCCAAAATGGAGAGAGGGAAGGGGTGGCCACCAACAATCACATCTAGGAAAGCGGGTTCTGACACCAAAGAAGAGATATTAGCCCAAAGTGAGTGGCTTAAAGGGCTGGCTATGCGTTGGCGTCTTCTTAAGCTCAGTGAAATCTGAGCCTAACGCTGTGAGTGGTCTCTGCAAGCCAGCCCTGCAAGCCAGCCTGCTCAGCAGGAACACCACACCAGGCGAGCCCTTTCACAGAAGTCAACGAAGTCAACGAAGTCAACGCCAGGAAAGGGGGCGCGGAAAACAAATACCCTGAAAACCGTTAGAACCCGAATAGGCACCTATTGAGACCTCTGACCTCCAGAAGCCTCCATCACCCTGCCCAGGGCTGGTACCTCTATCCCGGCAGGCCAGACAAAGGCAACCAGTGACAGTCTTTGGCTGTGCTGGACCAGGGATCACAGGCCTGCCATAGGTCAGAACCTCTCTCCCTTCTCTTACCCTCTTCTGAGCCCTGCACTCTGAAAGGTGAGAAAAGTCTGCTTTTCAGCAGGAGTTCACCAAGGAAGTTAGGCCCTCCCAAGCCTGACCAGGCTTGGTCTCGCCAAGCTACCCTACACACGTGATTACTCTGGTGTTAGGGAACACCTCCCTCTTTGCTGTTTATTACTGAAACCTTCTCTGTAGTGGAGGCACTATGGCTCCCAAATAAATGCTGTAAGATGCGAATGGCAAAGAAGGGCACTACATCAGCTCGACAAGACTTGTCTCACATCCACAGTCTGAAGAGAATGAGCGGGAAGGTGGGGAGGAGTGGTCGTGAGGATGCGGCGGCACCACCTGCCAGAGCGCCGGGTCTCCTTACAGCCCTACACCTGGGAGACGCTGTTGGCCAGGCGGAAAGACATTCTTTTTGCTCTTTCATTCTCCTGAAAGAAAAAAAAATTCCGGAATTAGAATGGCCTTCAGAAATATGGCATTTATTAACGCGAGCAGGCTGTAAGTGTCCAGCTTGGGACTCCCGGGAGCCAAAGTAGCTTTTTCCCATCCTGGGAACACAGCGGCAAAACTCACCGAAGGCACTAACCACTGTGTGCAAAGGATCATAAACAACTGCGGGAGGCTGGTCGGACCTGCGCACAGCAGGCAGGCAATACACTTTGGTGGAATTAAATAGCTTTGAATTGATCTTTCAGGGCTGCCCAGGTGGGACCGTGAGAAAGGCCGGAAGAGCTCTCTTGGCCACAAGCACCACCTCTCCTTCTTCCTCTACGCCAAGGGTCTGGGGAGGTTCCTTCCTGACCCCAGACCCAGTCAAGATCAGGCTCTGAGACCAGGCACTTCTGTCAGGGGCATCACGGTTTAGAATAACCTGCACTGAGCAGGGAGTCGGGACACCACAGCATTCACCCTGGTTCTGCCATCACGTTACTGCGTGGCCCTGAGGAAGTGCGTCCACCTCTGAATTTGAACCTCAGGGGTAATCGGAGTTGATGAGCCCTGCACTGCCCTGCTCTGCCTTCCTCTTAGGCTAAGGGACTGGAAATGAGGGCTCACTGTCACCACTCTCTTGTGCCACCCGAGCAGCTTCCCTCTGGGGGCTCTCGTACATGTTGCTGAGGTGCCTGCACCTGCCCAATCGCCCTCCCACCTCCCTGCCAGCCGGCAGCAGCTCTTTACCAGGTGTCGCCGCCGCCTCTTGGGTTGGATGCCCTCCTGCATGTAGGGGGGCCACGGGAAGCCTTGGGGAGTGGAACACCCGCTCTCGCTGGACACCTCCTCGGAGTCGGAGTCCTCCTGCCTCGGCTGGGCGAACTGTTTCTCTGGGTAGATCTCCTTCAACCAGCCCTCAAAGAATACTTCCAGGCAGCGGCCGGCCTCTGCAACCTCGGAGTCAGGCTGAGGGGGAGGAGAGCAGGGATGGCCTGGCCTGTTTCCACTGGCCCATCTCCCAGGCCTCCCAAGAGCTACGCAGACACCACAAAGCCTAGCTGGGTCTCTTGGGTGTCTGAAAATTTATGTTTTTCTCCTCGGGACTCAGAATAACTAGTTTGGTATCCATTCTTACAGCAGAAATGACCATTACCCACACATGGCCAGTCACTAGCACCCCCATCTTCCTCTCGAATCCGTGGTAAAGCCCACATGGGGGAGAGACCTTTTAAACAATTGTGACTACAGCAGACCTCAGAGTTCTACTCCTAAGTCCTCAAAGCAGCCCAGGACCAAACCTGACACGCAACCCACATGACAATCTTGGAGCCGTTGGGAAATAGGGGAGAGGTTAAACAAGCAAGACATACATAAACATACATAATTGAACTTAGCACAGTTCCAGAACATGAGGCGCACGTCTGACACCACCTCCTCTGGGGTGGTGTAGTGAGCTGGGTCCTTCTTTTGCAGCTTCCTCCGGATGATTGACAGGTCCATTGGCCTCTTGATAATTTGGTAGTAATGCCGGGCCTTGGGGAGAAGGAAGAAAGCAGGAAGAGAAAAGTAAAGATAAAAGAAGAGATGGAGAATGAGTTGGAATAGAATTGAAAGGATGTAAGAAAGAGAAAGGCACAAGAAGAAAAGCACCGAGGAAGAAAACAAGGAGAAAGAGAAAAGAAGGAATGTTTTACTCGTCAAGTCAGGTCGGATGCAGCAGCAGCTGGGGAGAGGCTGTGGTGACCCTGGCCCCGGTCACCCAGACCATCCACAAATTAATATACTTGCAGTGGCTGTGCTCTGAGCCCACTTGGGTGCCACTGTCATGTGCCCCCAGGCCTCGGGCCCCCTAAACAGAAAGCGCAGGAGCAGCGGGGCCTTCCTTACCAGTGGGCTGACGGGCTCGTGGAAAGGCAGGCTGAGGCTATTGCAGCACAAGGACAGTACCAGCTTCTCACACTTCTGCAGAAATCAGAATTGGCAGTGTTACTTTGCTCGGGCCCCAATAGTGACCCTGAGAACTCTAAAGGGGTTGGCTCTGTGCCACAGGTTATGAGCCATCATACTACAGCAGTTTAGCCTCCCAGGCCAGAAGAAAACAGCTGGCAGAGGGAAAATCATAGCAAACTCCCCATGGGCCAGACTGGCAGGCACAGCCCCCCAGAGAGGCACCTGGAGAAGCCTCTCATCCCCTCGGAAAGGCCCCGGCCCCAGCTGGCACAGAGAGGCTGCCCCAGGCATGGAGCCTTGCTCCCAAAGACCCCTCCCTACCTTCTGGTCAGATATGCTCAGTCCAGGAAGGGCCCGCACTGCAGGCTGGGTGTAACGGGCATTCTCACAGTCGTACTCCATCTCGGGCTGGGTCAGGCTGCGGCACAAGGTACACACCCAATCTCCCCTGCAAAGGTGGGTGGGGCCAAGTTAGGCCTCAGCACATTGCCCAGAGCTCTGTCCCTTGTCCCTATGCCCCAAGACAGTTATGGGGGTGGGGGGAGTGACATAGGAAACTGAGTCCTCAGCCCTGCACTGTAGGGAATGGCTTCCTGACCACAAGCTTGAGAGAAATCCAATAACTCAGAATTTAAAGAATGTAGGAAGAGGGAAGTCACGAGGGGCTGGGACAGGAATATAGGGATAATCTGTGTGCAAGAGGAAGCTGAGAACAGAGAAGGAAAGGAAGCCAACTGAATTTTGGACATCCACCTTTCTGTGTGCTGAAGGAACACCGCTGTACCACCACCGACGCACAGGCCTGCAATTCATGCAGGCTCAGAGAGGGGAGGAAGCCCGCCAGAGGGAGCTCTGAGGGCCTGGCCTGAGATAATCACCCTTGGACGATGCCCCTCCTAGAGAGCTGATGGCCAAGATTGGCCTGACTCACCCTGGAAAGCTGAGCAAGGCTGGCAGGTGGCAGGAAAGGTGGAACACCTTGGGGCAGCGGTCACAGCACAGCAACTCTCCCCCATTGAGGCACACGGCACAGAAGTCCTCATTCTCTATTGGTGCCGGGGGCCCCTTCTTGGCTCCAGGGGCTCGAGAAATGACTCTGTGTTCTTCAGGAGATGCCCCCTCCACCTCTGGTGCCTGCTGCCCCGCCAGAGATGTAACAGTGACCTTTCTTCCTCCCAGACTTGGGGCCTGGATGGCATCAGGCAGGTTGTTCTGACTGACCTGGGCAAAGAGGGGAGTGTGAGCCTTGAGAGCACAGCGCCGGTAGGCTGTTGAGGGAGGGAAGGAGGGTGGGGACTGATAGGCCCTGAACACAGACTTATTCCAGGACCACCAGCCAGCCAAGCTCCAGGAGTGCTGGCAGCTCACTCCTAACGTGCATCTCACAGGCCCATTACGACAGGGGACAAAGTCTGGCTCAGCTGCAGCCCCACTCAGAGACTCATGACAGGGCCAGAGCCAGAATTCTGGCAGTAGTAAAGAGAGAGATGCCAAGGTTCAAGGCCAAGGCAAAGAAAAGTGATACCTTAATGGCCATGCTGGAGGACTCAGTGCCACACTCGATGATCAACAGGAAGCCTCCATCCTGATTGTTCTTTTGTGGCTTCAGCTTGAACACAGGCATCTCTCCCGAGGAGGCAGCACAGATCTTGAGCCGCTCCAGCCGCACATAGGGAATCTTGGGCTTGCTACTGTAGGGTCTATGGCAAGAGAGACACCCTTGGGTTTTGGTGGGAGCCTCCTCTGGCCCCAACCTCTATGTAAGGCTCATCCAGGATCTCACAACTGAACTGCTACAGAGATTTCTTCAGTCCAACCCTCGACAAACCTATAGTCTGCCCTCCTGCCCGGCCCTTCCTGGCCAGGCCTCGTCAGCTTCTGGAAAGCCCTTTGGTTAAAGAAGAGGCTTCGTGAAGAGTGAGGACTGGCCAGAGTGCATGCCACACAGTGTGGGAGCACGACATCCTCCCGTCACCATCCCAGACACCCAACCACCCAGACCTCACAGTTGCAGGCAAACTCCTGCTTCTGGTTAAGTCATCAAGGAGGCTTACTTCCTGTGCCAGTCTCCCAGGACATAGGTTTGAGGGGGTGGGGGAAAGAGGCTGGGCCAAGAATCTGTTACCTGATGATCTGGTTCTCCTTGGCATCCAGTTCTAGGGCTCCTTGTTCAAAATTCTCATACCCTAAGGCAAAAGAAAAATGTATATGACATATATTTATGACAATGTACCCTGTGACCCACACTTATATCTGCTACTCATACCTTTGGCCACCTACCTGTCGCACATTGTTAAATACACTGTAGTCATTCACAGTGCAGAAAATCCTACCATGGCTCTCCTTCCTGAGAGGGGAAGAAGGCTACCTTCTTTTAAAAAGATAAACACTCGGAGGCTGCCTAGGGGTGATTGTTAGGTCAGGCGCTGAGAGGCCAGCTTCTCACCTTCGATGTGAGCTCAGAAATCACTGTTCTGCACACACTGGTGTTACCTGCTCTCGGGAGTCATTCTGTCCAGTCTCTGCCTTTTCAGCCACGTGCTGGCATTGCAGCACTGCCTGAGGACCCAGCTCACACTCTGTGGGCAAGAGCCTCCTGGGAGCCCTGCCCTGAGTCGTGCAGCCTGCGCAGGTGGGCAGGCGGCAGTGTGGGGAGAGAAGAGAAAATGAGCACTTACTGAGCTCCCAACTCAGCACCAGGCACTGTCCTGGGCACTTTCCACAGTCAAGCAGGACCCAAAAAATGTAACTGCGTAAAATGCAGGGTTACATTATTGTGCAGTTAAGAACCAATAATTTTCCAGTGGGTCATTCAGTCAGTGCCAGTGCGAAGAAAGAAGGAGAAATGTTTCATTTTCATTTATTAAATACACAGGACATAGACTGACCGTTACAAACTAAACACACATCATTCACTGAACTGAAAAAGTCCCATCGGATCACCAGGCAGTTGCTCCCTAACTTCCCCACTGGCCCTCCGCTGCCCAGAAAAAGGAACTTGGGCCAAGCCCCACTGAGAAGGGGTGCAGCAGATAAGAAGAGGATGCAAGACCATCTCCACTGGTCTAAATTCCCTCTCCCAAGAGGCACAACACAAATCCACATTACTGCCAGGTGCAAGGCAAACTCCTATTACTACAAAGTCCCCAAATGATTGCCCTGCAATCACTTTTGTCCCAGCAGCCTGTGAGGCAGCTAAGATTAGCCCCATTTATAGAAACAGGTGAGGTATCTTGCCCAGGATCAAACATAAAGAGGCAGTGCTGGTTTTCTAACTCACATCTACCTGACTCCCAAGCGAGACGTGCTCTTTTCCCTAAAATAGTTTGCCAAGGCTCACCATTCTAGGATGACTTCTTCCTATCACCCTCTACCTGCAACCCAGACCCCCAGAATGCTTTTGCACGGGGAATGTTACTAGGTGGCTAAGCCCTGGGCTGTGCCTGGATCAGCCCTGGCCACCGGGAGGGAAACAGAACAGGAATCAGTAAGCCAGTTTCAGAGGATAGAGGTGAAGTCAGCCTGAGAGAGAAGCACTGCTCTGTCAAGCTACAACCTGCCTGCTACCTCTACCACACCTGGAAATGCTGAGTGCACCTGCTCAAGTCTGTGGCCAGGATGAAAGGCAGGCTGCTTACTTGAGTCTCACCTTTTGGGGTCTGGTACTGCTGCAGAGCTATGGATGTGTTGACCACTGAGACCACAGGCGGTTTTTTCACAGAGAGGTTAATTGGTTCCTCCAGTTCTGAGGGGATAGCTAAGTCCTTGGAAACATGCAGGCCAGGGACTGTGGGGCCTTGTCCCGAAGAGTCAGTGAAATGGGTGGAATCCTCACTTTCCATCTTTGAAAAGTAAAAGGACAAGAAAAATCAAAGAAATCAGACATTTTTGCCATTAGCGGTCACAGAGCTATTAGGTGAAAGCAGGAAAAGGCCTGCAGAGGCCATCCTTTTGCTAAGTGATGAGCAGAGAAAGTTGAATAGAGTTTTCCCAGGACTTACCTTACACAGGGCATTCCCCACAGAGGAGTCAGCCCCATCCCCAGGGCACAGACTCCCTGCAGCTCGGCCAGAACCAGGACTGCGGCTGGCTCCAGTCTCTGGCTGCACATCGGAAGCCGGCGGCATACTTTGCAGAGGACAAGTTGCTAGACTTGGCACGGGCTGGGTGGGACCAGACATCAGGCTGGGCCCGGCCTGACAGTAATCAGTTGCTAGGCTTGCGATGGCCTGGGAGGAATCACTCATCAGGGTGGGCATGGACTGGGCTGTGCCACGCACAAGGCTGGGCACTGTCTGCAGGTGACCGGCTGCCAGGCTGGACACAGTCTGGTTCTGACCACTCAGCAGGCTGGACACAGTTGGTGGGGGGCCACTTAGCAGGCTTGGTACTGCCTGGGGGTGGCCAGCTGTCAGGCTGCTCACACTCTGGATCTGTGGCTCTAGGGCCCTCGCCAGCCTCGTAGATGACAGCTCCATCTCCAGAGTGTTGGAAAAGCCCATAATGCTCACAGAGGTGGAGTGCTGCAGGAGCAAAGACAGGGCCGTCAGGCTGTTAGCTGGGGATGGTGAGAAGGGAAGGGGAGATGCGGCCCATGAGAGCTCCGCTCTTTTCTGTCCTCCTAAACCCTTGTACTTCATTCTCATAGCACAGTCTGCGACACCATTCGGTTGATATCTGCTTACCCTACAGACTGTAAACTCCATTAAGGCATGGATTTTGTCTATTTTGCTTACCCTCTATAGTTCTATACCCACGAACAGTGCCTGGCTGAATAAATAAATTAACAAGCTATTTAAATCTTTTCTAAAAAACAATAATAATCCGTGACTTTTTACAAATCTTAAGCCAAATGAATAGCAACTTAGTTTTACTAACAACTCAGTCTATGAGCTTCTCTAAAATAATGAATGTTTTTCTGTTGCTAAAATTTATTAAGAACTTATTGTATGCAAGGTAATTTGCTGAGTGTTTTACATACATTTCCTCATTTAATCCTCACAACAAACCCTGAAGGCCTGTTGTGGAGGCTAAAAGGAAGAGCCCACGTCAAGGTCTAGAGCAATGTCTGCCATACCGTCGGTGCTCAGTAAGCCCCACGGTGGCTCTCATTGTCGCTGTTGCTGGGACCCTGGTTTTACACTGGAGTGAACGCTACAGGGCATTACAACAAGAGCTAGTCACTTCAGGTACAGGAAGAAAGAAGGCAGTTGAGAGCCCCATCCAGAAAGGTATCTGAAGGGTTTTTTTTTAATGTTATTAGAAAACTAATTTTATAAATTTCCATTTCTTTCTGTTTGTGCTCACATATAGAAATACAATTCATTTTTGCATATTGACCTTCTACCCAGGGACCTAGTTAAAGTCAGTTTGGGATTTTTCTTGACACACAGATCCTGTCATCTGTGAATAGTAAGTTTTATTTCTTCCTTCTCTTACATTTGTTTTTCCCACCTTACGCCACTAGCCCAGACCTCCAGTAACCGGTTACACAGTAGTTACAGGAGCCATCCCAGTTTCATTCCTCGTCTCAGGAGGAAGCCCTTCAATATCTCTCCACTGAGCGGGACTTTTGTAGATTCGGAATCTGGGTCTCTGGCACTGAAGCCACAGTTCTGAGTCTGGCCTCTCTGCCTCTCTCTCTCCAGCCCCTCCTTTCCCGTCTCTCCCTACTCTGTTCTTCCCTCTCTGTCCTTCCCGCCCCTGCTCTCTCCTTCCTCCTGACCTTCTTCTCTCTCTTCCTCTCCACTGGTTTTTCTTTGTTCTTATCATCATTTCCTTTTCTCTCCTGGCCCTTTCCCCCTATTACTTGTTTTTAGCAAAGCTTATATTTTCTATTCTTATTCTCAATTTTAAAAGCAGATGAGCTAAGTATGCTTTATCTCTCCAAAGGAAAGTTTGTTTTTCATATGTTCTTTGGTAGCTCAATAGCCTTCAATAAAACAGGTTCGATATGCTCTATACTCTAAGTCCCAAGATAAGAAAGGTTGAGAAGGAGGAAGGATGGGGGGACTGCTCAAACCAAATGAGGCAGACTGGGCAGGGAGGCTCGCTGGAGGGACTGCAGTCGGAAACCAAGGGCTGTCCCAGACAGGCCGTGTGGCAGTGTACAACCATGCTTCCCAGCGGTCTGTACTTCCTTATCTACGGGCAAGGATGTCCGATGACGACCGCACTCCCTGTTGCTAGGCAGCACAATCGAATCCTTGGAGCCGGACTCTTCCACCTTTCCCCTACTTGACAAGTATATTTCATGCAGTTCTGGGGTTCGTTTTATCTACCCATGACACACATGCTCTCAGCCCCTCAGGGAGATCTTAGTGCCAAGCACAGAGAAGACCAAATCCACCCGAGCCCGTCCTAAGTAATAACAATCAGGCACTATATGTCACAAGATTAAACTCCCAAAGAAAAAACTTCCCAGATTAGGGGTACAGATCACATTCGTAGGATATCAACTCTCCTGATTACTTATTGCTATCATGGAATGTGAGTTAATATAATAACAGAAGCGAGGAGGGATGCAGACTGAGCCACAGAAGACTTACGGAAACTCTGTCACAATTTGTCGTAACCTGGACCTGATGGGCCTGCTCCTGTAAATACCCATGACAGCATTAAAATAATACAAGATCAGTAACCTGTCCTAAGATACTGCAGACTAGACTGGTCTCTTTTGTCTCCATGCCTACAGCCAATCTCGGGGAGGCCTAGGCTCTCAGGAGGTGGGGCGAAGCTCTGGCAGTGGTAACAGAGAACCCAGGAAACACGCCCATGGGGGAATTCTGAGAAGGGACTCGGAGCAAGTGCTATGAGGAAGTCAGCCCCAACTCCATTTATACAAACACAGTGGCATTTCTGGAACATATGTGGGCTGAGTATTACTTATTTTTGGATGCTTTATCTGTCTCTCTGGAGTGAAGGGCTACTAAACAGCAAAACAAAGGGTACTCATTTCATGTACAGGAAGGAAGAGGGGCACTGAGGACCTCCATCCTACTCTCCTGCCAGGGTTACAGGGTGAATAGGGGTAAGGGAAGGATCTACTTTCAGAGTCAGGAAAGCAGGCTGAGTCTCTAGGGCCTGCAAGGAAGGAAAGGGCGTCTGAAGCGCACACTAGGGTTGGGAAAGAGCTTGGGAACACAGCCACTCCTGACACTGGGTGCCTCACACACAGGAGGAGTTCATCTGTCAGCGGTGATGATGCCACCTGCCCTCTCTAGCACCCAGGGTCATTGAGAGGTCAGATGAGAAGCAGTGGAAGTCTGTGGCCAGCCGTAAAAGTCTGTGGAGCAATCGCCGACATGTCCAAGCTGGCAGGTTCATAATGGATACCCTGATCTCATCTTTACATACAAAACCTTCAGATTTCACTGGGAAAAATGTGTATTTGAGATTTTTGAGTGAAAATAACCACTTTGTAGTTCAGGGAGGAAAAGAAGTCAACATGCCAAAAATATTCACTCTGCTAATCCACTCAGGTTGCCTTTGGGGTGAGAGGGGAGACAGCCCTGAGCCTGAAGAGCCCCTCCCTACCTCGCCGACCTGGCAAACCCTCACTGCCCCTTACTTTCTCTCCTCCTAAACTGTATGTTCCTATCCCCGTCCTGGTGTTCCTCTTGTCCCTTATCTCTTTGTCTCCTCATCTCTGTTTGCACCTGCTGGACCTGGGACTGCTCTGACTCGCCTCATCTAGAATGCACGTGATCTGCCTGTCTGGAGACCACCTGCCTCCACGACTTGCTGGCCTGCCACTTCCCTGAACTGTCTGACCTTCACCCTCCTCTGCCTGTCACCCATGCAGTCTTCACCCATCTAACCTGTCTCCTGCTCCACCCGTGCTCTGTGTCCTCTCCCCAACCTCACCACCCAGATCTTTTTCTGGAGTTCAATCTGTTAACCATTATTATTATAATTATAGCCACATGGTGATGTCAAATATCAGAGAAATCATTGTTCTTTCATTTTATCAAGAAGGGAAATTGAGACACAGAGTAATTACCCATATTCCCAAGCCTGTGTAGGCCCAAGACTAGGAATCTGAGCCTGGCCTTAAAAATTTGCTGGCTGGTCTTGATTTTGTGCCATTAGCTAGAAAGCCAGTGCCCAAGTAAGGGGGAATTGAGAAGTCAATAAACAGACACTCATTGCACACATGCCCTGCGTTTAATATCAATTTCAGGTTCTTACAGCAAGATAATGGTGCTGGGGATAAAGTAATGCAGATAGGGTAATGTTCCACAGAAATTCACTTTTCAGATATCTGAAACGTACCTTTAAAATGTTATTTTGAAAGGGAGCACTTCTGAAACAATTTACACACTAACAGGCTTACTAAACACAGTACACAGAGACTAATGAGGCCATTTCTTCAGTGATGCAAAGGAACTCTGATGAACTTCTACACTGAGGTGGGCTGTAGGTCAGTGGTGCTTTAGGGAACTCCTAAGAATGTAGGGCTTAGCTTTTCCTCTCAGTTCTCACAACCTGTCACTTTCCAGGTAAAGTTTCCTGCCTTCTCCCTTGTTGTTTGTTAGCTGCCATTATAGAAGTCCTGACTCCCTGCTTCTAATCTGCTCTGCTGTAATGTAAGAAGATGAAAAATTTCCAAAGAAAATCATACAACTAAGCTTTTCAGGTCGACAATGCTGACTAGACACCTGAGTGCAGGCTTGTGCTCTCACACAGCATATAATGCATGAAGTTTGTGACATCTGTTTTTGCTGCTGCTCCGAAGTTTTGACTGATCACTTCTGATGTCAGGTGTTTATTCCAGTAGTTGAAATTGTCAAAGGCTAACCACATCGTGTAAGTGTGCAGTAGGAGAAGGGACCAATGACTTGGCAGTTGTGTCTTGGAAACACATTGAAAGCCTTCACTCTGGCTGAAGGAAACAGAAGGAGACAGGATAGAGGTAAATAGACTTGTGAATTAAATCCTGGGAATATTTAAGTGTGTCAACAGCTTCAGAGTAGGCAGACTGGTTTACTATAAGTATCGTATATCTTGAAACAGGTGAATCAGATAGCTGAGGAGGGAACTAATGTTTCAGCAAGTGGTTTCACAAGCTAGTTTTTAATAGTGAAGTCGTTGCTCTTGTTGACAGTGAGGGCTAAGCTCTTGTACGAATTAGGGCTGCTGCTGTGACTGTAAATATGCAGACTTATGCTAACTGACCAGAGTCAAATGAGAGAAATAAAGAGCACCCAGTGCCCTGATGATCCCAGAAAGACAGAAAGGGCAAAGAGGACCCCAAAGTCTGAAATGGAAGAAAGAGAAAAGGAATAAATGGACTGCAGTAAGTTTAAAGTGAAAGCCAGAAGGAGTGGAACCCTCAAAACACTTGGAGGGCTTCAAGCCTTGGCGACTCGGGAGAAATAGGCCAGCAGCTCTTTGGCCAGGTCAGGGTGAGGAAATTTAAGACCTATACACAAGGAGGACCTGTTTTCTCATGGACTGGGAGACCCAAACAAAGAGCTTGAATTTGGTCTGTGAATTTAACCAGGCTAGAGTACAGAGACAGGCTTCCTAAGCAGAAATATATTCAGGGAACCAGTCCTGGGGAGTGTGTGACTTGATTCCTGAGTAGCACAGTGGATCTCTGTGTAGTTCTACACATGCTAACACAGGCTGTGCCCTAAGAAGGCCTCACGAGGCTCTTTGTTCAGGAAAATTCTGAGCAACAGTTGCTCTCAGGGTTAGGCTATGAGGTGAGATCATGGTCGAGGTTGAGAACCTATGATCTGATCCGTGGTAGTGGATTTGGGGACTATGAAGGCAGGATGCCTAGTGTGTCCTCACTTCTGCCAGGGTTTAGAGTATGAGTTTAAGCAAGTCATTTCCTGTCTCTGGGTTTTAACTTCTTCTTCCACAGGTTGATGTGAATCTCACTGAGTTGTAAGAATAAAATTTAGAGCTCAGACATCAAAGTGTTTTAATAATGGTAATAAATGCTATTTGTATGAATCATACTCCTTCACTCTTCTGCATCACTCTTAATAATCTGGACCACAGGAATGCCTACTTCTTCAGTAACACTGAAGATACATCCCAGGCTCCTCTCAAGCCGTGAACAGCATCCTGGTGGCCTCAAAGTCCTCTGTTAAAGATCTGGGGCCATATCGTGAACAGAAGAGAGATCCCTTTTGCAGGTGAACTGGGTGTCAGATAAGGCTCTCTGTGATGCCTTCAGCCTTGACTCCATAAGAGCTTTTCATAAAGAGGTGTATATATTTTCCAGCAGTTGACTAGTTCAGAAGTATAAAATGAAGCCATCAAAATGTCTTCCAGTTTCACTTGAGAGGTAAGAGGGTTCTGTTGTAGAGCTGGAACCATGTTTTTTCTTCAGAGTGGCTATACCAAGACTAGGAAGCTTAGGCAACAGCTAGTATCAGACAAATGTCAGTGTTCACCCAGAAACGTCATGGTGATTCAGGGAACGTGGCAGGACAAAATGCTCCTAAGACTGCAGAGCTTGTGCCACTGGAAAATCCATTCTAGAACTTTCACATCTCATTTTCGGCAGCAATCTGCTTTCACATCAATCAGCTCATTGAGTCCCAAGTCCTAGGTACCTGTATACAGCTGCTCTGCTCTAACCAAAACCATCCTTGTGGTGGTGTAAAGTCAGTGAGCGGCTCAGAGCACAAGCAGGTCCCTGTGGAACACACAGAGAGCTGCCCAGTACCATAGGTTCCTGCGGCCTGTGACCTTCAGAGAGACTCTGACTTCCCTGGCACTCAGGCCAGTACAGACTGAGGGGCGCGCTGGAGGCCAAACAAAACCTGTACCGGATAAAGAAAACTGAGACCAAACTAGGCTGGCTCCTGAGACCTCTCCCTAGTAAGGCCTCAGCCTACTTCAAAGATTGTGAGGACAGGAAAATCCAGGACACGAGAGGCCAAACGGAGTCCCATCTCTCCCACTGCAGTGCACAAAGAGAGGTCATTTAACCTAGTCACTGAACACATGGTTGAGTCAGGAGCCTGGGCTCAGGTCCTAATGTTGCCAATAACCAACTATGTAACTCTTAGATGGTCACTTAACCTCTCTGTGTCTCAGTTTCCACAACTTTCAAAGGGGAGCAAGAAAGTGGCTTCCTCGTAGTATTTCTAGGATAAACAAATAGATAAAATGGAATAATTCGTGAAACCATCTATGGAAAAAGTAGAAAATGCTATACAGAGTATTACCATTCATTGATAAGGTGCTCAAAATTTTATTTGGTGTCCTCAAGCTTTATACCCTCCACCCTCCCGAATTGTAGGCTTAAAGCAATGAATGCCCTAAAAAAGAAAGTCCTTTTCCTCATTTAAGAAACTTTATGTATAATTAGTGCTCTCTCAGTTAAGTAGACTCAAAGGTTCCTCTGGGCCAGGATGACAATCTTGAGGTCCCTTTTTCGGGGAGTCCAAGCCATAAAGAAACCTATAAACCATGTGAAAAATTCCAGTCCCTCTGGCCTCTCAACCTCTGCATGAGCCCAGTTAATAAGGGGCAGGGCAGCTGAAGATGAGAAGTTAAGAGTTCCTAGGACCTTCACTAACCCCCCCACCAACCTTCAGCCACACAGGAGGGCAGCATCGCCTTACTGCTCAGACAGCCCTATGGGCCATCGCCCCTCAGCACAACTCCACGCTTGCGCCTGGCTCACCTCCTTTCCTTCCTCTATCCTGCGTTTAGGTACAGAACTGAGACTCATGAAACAAGCAGTGACATTTTCTACATGGCTTCCACTACCACTTGAACACTGGCAAATCCTGTGCTTCCTTCTGAACTACTGACATCTATAGCCAGCTGCCTTTTGGTCATCTTCTAATGCAGCTTCCACAGAAGAACACCAGCAATTCAAAACTTGTTTCTCCTTCCAAACATGCTTTCCTCCCATGCTCACATCTCAGCGAATGGCAAACCAGGGGGCCAAAACAGACCTGGGTGTTAAGCCAAAAGACTTTCTTTCCCTCACTTCCCATTGCCGATCAGACTGAGTCCAAAGCTCCTGTAACTGATCTTTCAAAGTCCTTGCTTCCTCTTTAGTCCCATCATTAGTGATTTCATTCAACCTCTCCTATTTCTCCTCTGTACTATTTTGGTCTCTTTTACTGCAGTTAAAGTGACTTTTCTAAAATTTAATTCAAACCAGGTCCCTCCTTGCTAGAAATTCTTCATTCACTCTTCGCAACCCACAAGACTGGATGCATAGGCCTTCCAGCCTCTCTGGCTTCACTCCCATTCCCCAGCACACCTCATGTTCCCACCAAGCCAACTTATCTGAAGCCCCTAAGTGCCTGAGGCTGTCTCTCGCTTCTGGAGCTTCCTACTCACCATTCCCTTTGACTGCATACTCTAGTCCCCTACTCCCACCCCTTCCACTAGCCTAACTTCTTCAAATCTCATCTCAAAATCATGTCCTCTGGGAATCTTCTCTGAATGGTCCCTTTGCCCAGGGTTAGGTGTCCTTTCTCTGCCCCTCAGTGACTATCACAGCACTTTGTCATCCTTTATTGTTGCCACTTAACTATCTCTCCCTCTAGACTTAAGCTCCACCATGAGACAATTGACCCATGTATGCCTGACACTTAGCAAAAATGTTAGCACATTCTAGGGGATTAATATATATATATATTTATTATATATATAATATATATATATTGAGTGAATAAGTGTTTGGATAGATAGGCAGTTGGCCTAAGTATAAGAATTTAAGAGCCTGACATTAAACCTTTACCCTAAGAGCCACAGGGCCCTATTTACAGCATTTCTGCAGCCTCTACTCCAAAGCATTTTGACAGGTAGAGCAGGACAGGCATAAACAGAAACCACTAATACCAGAGACCTATGCAGACTTCAAGAGTCACCAGGGATTCCCAAGTTAAGATTCCATTTTGGCCATCCCTTACTTTTCTAAACTCTCTTCTCAAGTACCATTGAGATAGACGGGCCTAAGACATGGATGGCACTGGTGCTGCTAGGGAGACACGGTGAAGGGTAGGTACACAGGCAACTTGTGAACTGGGGCTGTAGTCCAGAGCAATGCTGCAGGCCTGAGGGTGCCGGCCAGAAGGGCACAGAATAGCTGACAGAGCTTCAGGTGCAGGGCTGAGTGAGAGGCACCAGGAGGGCTGAGGGGACCAGACCAGAGAAGGCAACAGGATAATAGGAATGGGGCCAAGGTACACAGAGAGGGCTGAGTGGAGGGCATGACACAGCACTGAGGTTCCAGCTAGGAGGATGACAAGGGTAGGGGGTAAAGGGCAGGGGTAAGAGTAAAATAGCTGAGGAGCAGTGGGTTAGGGTTATCACCCAGTAAATGAACACTTCTAGCAAGCAAGGAGATGGGTGGACAGGTAGGGCTCCAGTAGCTGATCTTCAAGAGATCTCAGTGCACCTAGCTGCTCGGGACAATGCCTACAGATCACTCACCCAACAAATTCCGATTCTAAATCTAAGACCAACCAGCTTTGGGGTGTGGAGTCACAAGAAACACTTCCCTTGTTTTCACTGCAGAGAGGAAAAAGTTCAGGCTTTGGATTCTGATGGACCTCATTTAAAATAAACTGCAGCCTTCCACCTACCAGCCACAGAGCCTCGGACCTCCGTTTCCTTAGCTATAAAATGGGGGCGCCCACCTCACAGAACTGTTGGGAGGGTTGAGATAATGCTTATAAAGCACATGCACAGTTCTAGGCACAGAGCAAGTGTTCAATAAATTGGCTCTTTCCCATTCTAAATGACGCTTAATGTCATTTTAAGTATATATGTGGGCATGGAAATGGGGGTGAGAAGGACCCATGTTGCTGACTCATTAGGACAGAAGGCATGAGTCAGGGCTGTGTAACATCCAGGGATGGAACAGCGACACTCCTCCCCCCGCCCAGTCTTCCTCATCCAGCTCCCCGGGGTCTTGGCTGGCAGTGGGTCCCACGTAGTTAGGAAAAGCAGGCTCCGTTAGTACCTTTCTCACCACATTTGTAGAGGAGTGCTGGCTGGTGCTGTCCAGTGGGGGGACACTGTGAGGGGTTTCTGCCCCAGACGACTGGGGCATGTTAGCAGCAGTATTCTTGTCAAGAGAGAGAGCTGGCTTTGGGCCTTCAGATGCTGGGGGCTCATCTGTAGCCTAGAGAAGAAAATAACACCTCAGTGGGTTTCACTGCCGAGTGTAGCCCCAGCAGCAGCAGCAAGGGTTAAAGCCCACCCTGCACTCCCCATTAGCACCACTGTGAACTGCCTAGAAATTCTTCAGAGAGACAGATACTTTTATCCAAATCTTTCTAAGACTACATCCTAATAACAGTCTTAAGATAAAATCCCTACAGAGAATTTTGAACAAACTCTGTCATATTCACCTTAGTAGTTACAATGGTTATGACTTCCATTTAGCTTGGGGTCCTCTGTGAACCCTAGACCTTTCGCGGCCATCGTGAGGATTATTCTATATCCCCTCACAGAAACGGAGCCTCAGAGGAAAACAGTGAAACATGCTCTAAAGTTGTGAGTACTGAGCATAAGTGTGAGACCTTATATTCTGTAATAAAAGTAAAAGTGCACAGAGCTGCTTTGAAGATATAAATGTGATTACAGACTTAAAGAAGACAGCACCATGGGGAAAGTGCAGAGTAGCGGCAAGAGGGTGGAACAGGAAGCTCTGGAGAAGGAAAGCAAAAGTTAAGAATGAAGATGTAGAAGGCAGCAAAGATCCCAGAGGTACAAACTGTACCCCTTCCGTTGGCTTTTGGCTGAGAAAAGAGCATTCGTCATCCCCCAGGGAGAGAACAGGGCCTCCTCTGTGGTGTTACAGAGTCGGCAGACCTGGATCCAAGACTTGGTTCTATCACTCAGTGTTCTGTGGTCTCAAGGCAAATCCCTCATTCTCTCTCCCTTCCACTTCTGCATCTATGGAATACAGATGGTAATGCCTACCTAACAGTGCTGTTGATAGGGCAAATGATATCACGTATATGAAACATACCTAATTTAGTAGACTTAAAATAAAATTTAAGTCTATAGCTGTGTAGTGTTATAAAGAAGCTGCCCATAAGCATCTAATGCACACCCTCCCTCCACTTCTCAAGGTCTCCCTTTCCCCTGTCTGAGCTTCCTAAGTTCCCAGCAAGGAAAGTGAGGCAGTCTGTGGCCGTACCACCCTGAACGCACCCAATCTCATCTGATCTCGGAAGCTGAGCAGGGTCTGGCCTGGTTAGTACTTGGATGGGAGGAAAGTGAGGCAGTTACAAAAATGAGAGACAACCTCCTTTCTGCCCTGGCACTAGCAGGAATCCAGCACAGACCAGAAGATTCCAGTAAAGGTTTCTGGCATCACAGAGGAGAAGAGGGCTAAGCAAAGCCACTCTTGCGAGTACTGAGCCCAGCTCTATGTTGGGACTAGGCACTATGTTCTGCGGAGCTTTCCTGAGATAAGAGGTGAGCCTAGGACAGTCTCGAAATGTGAGGGCTGTGCTCAAGGCCACCCTAAGGTGAAGAGACGTGTTCCTGTGCCACTCTGTGACTAGGAAGGCTGTGTTTCCCTGAGCGATCCTACAATGGGGAGAATATGTGCCCCAAGCCACCCTGAGACTCACCTGCACAGTGTCCTCCTGGCTCTGGGACTGGACGGGTGCTGGCTGCCTCACGATGTAGTTGATCTGCCCCACAATGGTTTGCTGAAGATGCTGAGGTGACTTGGTCTGACTCAGTTGCAGGCTGGGTTGTTGAGCCTGAAGGAGAAGCTCCAGGTCCTTCTGCATTTCCTCCAGCTCAAACTTGTGGTGCATTATGTCCACGTTCTGGGAACAGGCAGGCCCGGGAGAGTTCTCGTGCTGACTAGAAGCCAGATGCTGAGATGGAGGTAGAGGTGGGGGTGGCTGCTGCTGGGGTGGAGGTGGCAGAGGTGGCGGAGGTGGCAGCTGCTGCTGTGGCTGCTGCTGGAAGTGGCTGAGCTTCAGCTTCTGGTGGTGACCAAACTGGACTTGGATAGAGGGTGTCTGTAAGGTGGGCTGGGCATGGGCTCCTTGCTGAGCATCCTGTGGGGGGACGATGCACACCGGCTGGGAAGTCAGCTGATGCCCCAGTCGCTGGGATACGTTCTCCGGCTCCACGGAGGGCTGGGTTTCCAGCCAGGGCTGCAGCAGCTTTGGTGGATGAGGAGTGCAGGGCAGCTCCTTCTCTCTGGGTAGCAGGGTGGAGCACTGCAGTGACCCCAGCTGTTGAGGCACTATCTCAGAGGGCTGTCTAAAGCTGTGGGCTGGGTGTATGCTGGGTGGGGGGACCTGGCCTTTGAGGGAGGGTGAGACTGAGGAGCAGTGAGAGCAACACATAGACGAGGAGCACAGTGCAGAAGAATGAAACTTGTGTGAGGGGTGGCTGAGAGTCTCTTGCTGAGCCACGGGGGACTGGTGGCTTTGATAGAAGGATGATGGTCCCTGTAAACCTCCATAAGCAGGGGTATCTGGCCGGGACAGTTGTCCACCTTCTGTAGTGATGCAGCCTGAAAGTTCGGAATAGAGAGTGTTTCCAAAGGTAACCTGCAGTTGTTCCCTACTTGCTATCTCCTACTCTTAGGACTAATGAAAATCATTCAGGAAACCTGTACCAGGCATAGAGATCAATGAATTCAACCCCTGATCTCTGACTCAGTCTGGAATAAGACCATTAATTGAATCTGTATGGACCAGTTTTGGGGACATGAGCCATTCAAGAAATTAGCTCTGCTTTTACCACATGCTCAGTCCTGCCTCTGTATCCCATTAGAGAAATCACGGACTGCCCTGGCTGCTATGGCTCAGTGGGTTGAGTGCCAGCCTGCGAAACACAGAGTTGCTGATTCAATTCCCAGTCAGGGCACATGCCTGGGTTGCAGGCCAGGTCCCCAGTAGGGAGCGCGGGAAAGGCAACCACGTATTGATGTTTCTCTCCCTCTCTTTCTCCTTCCCTTCCTCTCTATCTAAAAGTAAATGAACAAAATATTTAAAAGGAGAAAAAAAAAGAAACTACAGACTCTCTCAAAAAGCACCCATTCTTTTCTTAACAGAATAGCTCCACAGAGACTGAGACAAAAAAAAAAATTAACACTGGAGCTAGGGAGGGAATGTGCTAGAAAGTACCAAAGAAGAGTCATCCACAAGACAATGAGCACATCTTCAAATACAGTCCTGGGGAGCTGTGGGGGGGAGGCAAATAGGGTGGAAGAGAGGGGGGAAGCTCCACCACCAGCTCAGTAGCAGGCACCAGCACTGTCCTCTGAGGTCCGGGGCCTCCTAAATGAGTAGATGGTATCTATTTCTAGCTCAGTCTAAAAGCCCCTTCGGCTCATTGTTTTGATGAGGCTTACTTAGGGGAAAGCTCAGCAACTTGAGAGCAGAAGGTGTTTTATTCACCTTTGGTCTCTTAGCGCTCAGAATGAGACCTGACCCAGAGCAAGGGCCGCCAAAGTTCTGTTGAGTTAAATCAAAAAGAAGATCGCAGTAAAATAAAATCCTAAATATCATTCATCACTCTGTCAAGTTCAAAAAACTTCCAATGAGATTAATAGCCCAGATGAAGGCAACATTTGGCCTTTAGTTTAACAAACCTACCACTAGGTCGTCAACACAGACACACAATTACAAGTTGTCTATATTCTGCCTAAAGACTGAATGTCACCAAATTATTACAGCCGAAAAGAAAAATGCACAAGATCATAAATTATCTGCTTACATTTCAACTCCAAAAGATGTATACAACATTCATTTTTCTCTCCTCTTTCAACTTTCCTTGCTCTCCTCTGCTCCCTTATTCCTTCTCCTCTTTCCTCTCTTTTTTCTCTCTTTCCTCTCTCTCCTCTCCCTCTTTCATCTCCTTTTTCTCTCTCCCCTCTTTTTCTCTTTCCTCTCTCCTTCTCCCACTCTCTCCTTTTCCCTCCCTCTCCCTCCTCTGGCTCTTCTCCCCCATTTGCTAAGATACCTGTTTGTACCCACACACACGTATACCCTCAAATAACCACAGACACACAGGTTCACCTCACTGCCACACAACATTCTGGAGAGCAGAGCCACTGTCTTCTCTCCTCTCCACCAATGAACCCAAGGTAATGGGGACATTTATGCAGAATGGGAAACTCAGATTTCAACTGATTCTGTTACAAAAGCCCTGCATAGCCACTGGCATTTAAGCTGTCCACAATCTCATCTATACCCATACCCTGACCCCCAACCCCCCACAACAGCTTTGCTGAAGTGACCTCTGGCAGTCTCAGGGAGTGCTTTCTCTTGGGCATATGGTGACTTATCCAGTAAGCTAAGCAGATGTTCTATATTCATTCCCAGCAATTATGTAAAAGCCCACAGTGTAGGCCCTGGCTCACCAAGGGAAGCCAGCTGCTTGGTCCAGAAGTTAGGTTCCCAGGTGAATCTGATACTCCAAGGGGAACCAGGATCTGTGTTACAATTTGTCTCCAGCAATCGCTGCATCTGAAACACAATCTGACAACAGCACCAAAGTCATTTGTTTGGGCATTTGTGCCTAAATGACAACTTCTTCTCCCTCATTCTTTAGACAGGTTGAAGAGCTCAAAGCCCTAGCTCTTTAACCTCAGGTCCTCCGCCATAGGCTCATTCCCTTGAACCTTAGTATCCTGAATATCCCTCTCCTGCCTCATCACCACCCTATCCACCTGGAACTACCCCCACTCCCCACTGATCCCCTCCCTCTTATTGAGGGTTCTGGAACCCCCACATTCTTATTTCTCCCAGGCCTCAAATGGTTTGTAATTCCTCTCAGGAAATCACTTGCCTGGAAGTCCTCGCAAGGGTGCTCCATTCATTCTATCATATCTCACGTTACAAGCCTATGAGAGCAGACGTTCTCTGAGCTCCACATTGCTGTCTTTCCACACTCATGTAAAACTCCCTTCCATCCTAATCAGCTGAGCTCTCCTTCCTTTCATTTATTTCCTATCCCTAACTCTGGCAAAGGTTCCTCTTATCCTGCCACAATCTAGTTATGGATGAGGTCCCAATCAACATCTTGGCCTGTTACTTCTTTGATGTCTTTGCTGTCAATCAGCTTCACCTCTCTTTTCAGTTCAGTCATCCTTTTCATCATCTAGGACCATTTTACCTATGAGATTATAAAATCCAGTAACCTATTTTAGTAACCTATTGCCTGATCATAACGAGTTCACACTCTTTCAGAGCACACTCTCCAACCTCGTTGAACTCTGTAAGCCTGTCCCATCAACCCACAGGGCCAACTCAGCTTTCCATCATTTTCAGCGCCACTGAAATAACACCACTGGTGTTGTTTCAGCATAACAACACCACTGGTGCCCGAATTCCCTCCTCATCACCAATGCCTACCTTCATGGTAATTTGGCCATTCCATAGCTATGTTATCTGGGGTTATTTCAGTGATCATTAACCTCAGTCTTTTTTCTTGTCAGTTCCTTTCTTGTCAGCTACCTCTTCCACTCTCCTCAAGGACTATTGAAAATCTTTACATCTCTCTTCAGTGACACCTACCCAATGCCTAGCCCTCTTATTATCACCTTCAACTTCACAGAGGACAAAAGAGATCAATAAGGGCAGGCTCCCCAAAACTTGCATCCCTCCCACCTCCAAACTTAACTACATTATACTGACACCTTCCCATACTCCCATCTCACAGGAAAGAAATGCTTCTTATGTTTAAGGTCAACCACCTCACTCTAGATCCCACATCTTTTTGCCTTCTCAGCACGCTCACTCCAACACACAACTCTTCTCTTTTCAACTTCAACCGAACAAATGCATGCAAGTGTTTTCCATATCAAAAAGAAAGTCTGTCTCCTTCTCAAGCCACCTTCAATTTCCCATCTTTTCACTTCTGTCTTTCCTTCACCTTCCATCCTCGGTCCCCCTCCTCATTCTAGCTTTTAACCAACCCTTCCTGCTTTGCTAGAATTTCTTTCATAAAGTCACCAGGGGCCTCCCAATTCCCAGATCCCAGGTCTCTTCACTATTTATCCTCTTTCACCTACATAGCAATGATAACATCGACTACTTGAAATTTGAAACTGTTCATTTTTATGTACCACACATTCCTATTTCTCCTTAGATCTTTGCTTCTCACTTTCCTGCACTCATCCTCTTCCCCTCTTCTCTGCTGAAACTCATGGTATTTCCCTGGGTTCCAGATTGTTCTTCTCTTCTCCCTTCACAGACTTTTCCGAGGGGATACTACAGATATATCAGAGACTCCCACATCTCTATCTCTTCTGACTTCCAGAACCATCTATCAAAACAGATTTTGGATATGTCCTATTAGAGGTCCTACAGGTAGCTTAGATTCAAGGTCCTTTGCCATATGCTCATTTCCTTGAATCTTAGATCTTCAGAGCCTTCTCCTGCCTCCTCATCCAATTATAAACTGCACCAGCTTCTCTCAAAATTTTGCTCCTTCTCCTGTGTATCACCCTCCTCCCAAGCCTAACACTTCAACATTATCTTCAACTTCTTTCCTTTTAGACCCCCCACTTAAACCCAAATAACTTTGTTTGGGATGACCACCACACTCCCAGTGTCCAGGATAATTTCTAAATCTGTGACCTAAGACAAATAACTACAGAATTTCCCAGCTGAGTTGCCTACAGGAAGGAGGAACGATTCCACTGCAGGGTTTGGTAAAAATGGCATTCACTTACTAACTTAAAGGCAGTGACTGAGGGGTTAAGAATTCTTCTTACCAGCTCTTTGCTGAAGAGGAAAGGGATGCTGGTTTTGCTGCAGACAGCCCAGTTGATAAAATTCTGCACATGCTCAAACTGACGGTTGAGGACCATGATGCTCTGTAGCTGCTGCTCCAGCTTTCGCTTCCTCTCATTAGTAATGCCCTGTGCACAGAGAGAGAAGACAGAGTTCCTGGTCCTATTCTTGGACTGAAGTCTTACTTGGGAAATCTGGTGGTCTGTGTGTGTCAGTGTGGACACTGACGGAATCAGATGAGACTGCACCTGACAGGAGGACAACGAGACAGAGTGCTGCCATGAGCTGCCGAGGGATGGAGGAAGGGAGGGGGAAAGAGTGGGTATATTTTATAGTGCAAATATGGAATAGGTAATGAATGTCTATATCTCTTGGACATAACTTGATGAAGAAAGTGGGTTGTTACACAACTCTCTTCCAAGGCTATAATGTTGCATAGTCCAGGAAGGCAGCTGCCTTACAACCATAGCACTGATGGGAGTTTGAACTAATTTCCCAGCCCTTAATTAGCCACCCTCCCAAAACTAGACTGGACACTTTAAAATCTAGGGAGCAGGAGAGAATTATGGAAACTGGACATGTAAATTCTGGTCCAAGCAGCTCTGAGTCCTGGAACTAGTTTGATGTGCAACTGGTTTCTGACCTAGGGAGTACACAGAACCCATCCACCTGACCAATTTGTCCACATATACCTCCAACTCTTCTATGAGCCCGTTGGCCTGTTTGTTCAGCTCATTCATCAAAACCATCTTGGCCATTTTGATCTGGTTTTCCACCTTCCTGTGCTGATGCTTCACCTCAAAAATCCTGTCAACAGGATAAAACATAGCATGGTAAGCCCTTCCCTCCAGGACTATGAGGACCTGGAGACAACAACCTAAGAGCCAACAACTTGGAGGATGCCCATTGAGATCAGGGCCCAGCATGCACCAAATATAAAGAAATGAGAACCTTCCTCCACCACCTCACCCTTTGTACAACCCAGCCTACTTGATCCAAGTGGGCCAGTGGCACAAAGAAATTTGGTTTTCTCTAAACAAACCTCAGGGCTACACCCAAGTCAATGTAGCAGCTCACTAGGGCACACAGCAATAAGGGAAGGACAGAGTAAGTGAGTATGATTTCATGTAATCTGTTGTCTTAAAAAGAAGGACGCTGCACCAAACAGTGCCATGCAGTAACAAGAGCACGGGCAGAAACACAGAGCAGACTAGGGGCTGCCAAGAACTGGGGGTGTTGGGGGAATGGGGAATGACTGCTAATGTGTATGGGGTTTCTTTTGGGGGTGATTAAATGTTCTAAAAGTAGACAGTAACAATGGTTGCACAAAGCTATGAATACACTATGAACCACTGAATTGTACATTTTAAAAGGGAAATTATACTGTATGTAAATTATATCTCAGTAAAGCTGGTAAAAAATACAAAAGAACATGGGCTTTGAAGTCACACAGACCTAGCTTCCAAACTTAGCTCAGTCACTGATTAACAAATCACCTATCCTCAACAGTAAAATGGAGGTAACCCCTGACTCAAAGAATGGTAAAAATTGAACAAAATAATGTGTGTATGATGCCCAAGTCAGTGCCTGCCACATGATGAGCTCTCAGTACCTAGTAATTCCTCTTCCTCCGTAAAATGCCAATGACTCAATATCACTCATAGATTTCTACAGCAAACAATGGGGAAGGGGTAAAGAAGGGCAGATTAGCACTTACTGGTTGTACCCTTAGGCTAAGTGGCACCCTCTTCCCCAGTTATCTGCCCTGTGCCCTGGTCTCAAGCACCTACCTCTGAGTATTTCATGACCACTCTCAGAAGGCATGTACTTTGGCCCAGATTCACTCTGATCATCCTGCCCTAGTTTGGTCCCATTCCCTAAGTGATGACCTGCAGCCCTTTCACAGGCCCTGAGACCTCTAAGGCCAGGACATATGCCTTCTGAGACGTGTGTCTATATCTGTTTAATGGCATTTCCAGGATGTGAAGGAACAGAGCATTTTCCAAGCTAGCAAGGGGATAGCCTGTGCTACCTGTCCTCAATTTGCTTTGCAGATGTCTGTAGAGCAGATTTTTTATGGGCCACCTGTGTAGTCACACTTTCCAGAAGCATCCTCTGATTCTGCAGAACTTCTTCAAGATGTCTGCACCTGGAGGAGGAGGCAGAGAAAAAGCTGAGGAGAGCTGACTCTTATTCTGAACATGCCAGCCAAGCAAGAATCCCCGCAGTGCATGTCACAGCCAGGCCAATGGAGGCTGAGATTGCATCTAGGAAAAGTCAGAGATACTGTCAGCTCTTGGCCCTTTAGTTCTTCTTCCCAGGGGCTGAAGGTTGGCTTAGGCAGGGAAATAATTCTGATATACTGGAAGCCCGACACTCCCACAAGAAGGGAGTCCAGAGGCCTCCCCAACCCCTCTGAGCAGTCAGCCGGCCCCACCTGTGTTCTTTGTGTTCCACCATGAGGCAGCGATGGCATGTGAGCACATCACAAGTCTCGCAGAACAGCTTGAGCACTTCCTGTGTGTGTAGAGGACAGTACAAGGCGAAGTCTCCAGAACCACTACTGTTCACTCCTGCCAGACAAAACAGAGAAAGCTCTACTGAGTAGCCCTTGGCCCTCAGTGGACACAGGGGAGACACAGGGCTTTGGTGGTGCAAAGACAGATGGTGCAAACAGCAGAGACCTCTCTCTGGGCCACCAAGTTTCTAGGAGTACAAGGAGGAATGCAGGCTTAGCCCAGATGGATTTGCCCAGCTGACCAAAAATAACATATCATCAAGTCCCAGGCATTCCACCACCTATCAGAGGCTCAGGAAGGTGTTTGTTACCACTGTAGCACAGGATCACCTGCAGAATAATGACTCCTCTAAAACTCAACCTAAACCTCTTCATCAAGCAGGATTCAGTGTGGTGGTGCTGAAACCAGCTACCCAGCCTCACCAGGCTCTAGGACGGACCACGTGGATTGTTAAACCCAATTCCTGTGGGTATGACAAAGGTAAAACTTCTCCCACGGCTCATGGGCCTTGGGAAAAGACTTTCAAGATAGACAGACAAATGGACAAACCCTGATACAGGCTGATTAAGTAACTAAACAGAGGTGATGCATGACTTATAAATACAAGTGAAAGTAAGGAACTCAGCTACCTTCCATAACCCAAAACTATTCCTCCCTGCACCATCTGACCCACACTCGCCCACTCCCACCCCAAAGGGGAGAGCCTAGAGTGACTCATACTGTGACTGTGATTCTGGAGGAGACACCTTTCCTTTGGGAAGGGCTCAGACACTACCTCACTCCCTACCCCCAGCAGGGGAACAATGTCAGAGAACTATTCTCTGGGGGGTTTAGGGTTCAGCACTGCTTAAGGGCATGTTGAGCTAGTGGGGAGAGCAAGAAGTGATACCTGGAGCTCCTTTCTGGGCCCGGGGAAAGAGCGGCCCCCCAGGCGCAGGGCCATGCCGGTGCTCTTCCGTGCAGGAGCTGCACAGCCAACGGTTGCAGTAGGTGCAGAGGATGTGTGCAGCCCTCTTCTCCTTGCACTCAGAGCAGTTCTGGAAGCAGAGGGTTCTGGAGTTACTGACAATGCCCTTATGTGGGCCCACCTCTATGAGTGGTCAATACTCTAGGGACTGGGGTCCTGCAGGGATATTCTCCACTAGTGTGGAGTGAAGTCAATTCTTAGAGCTGCCTGGGAGTGATACACAGGGGCTTGTGAGAAAAAGCAACCAAAAGAATAGTGGGCTCAGGGGCTATTAACACAATGCTGTGCTGAAGATGAGGAGAGCCAAATGAGTAAGGCACACACGGCCTGGACAGGATGGCAGGCATTCAATGAGCAACACTGATAAAAGGAGGCACCAAGTGCTACATAAGGGAGGTTTCCAAGAGCTCAGTCTCCGAGAGGCCAGGAAAGGGCTTATAAAGAGGTGACATTTGAGTTGAACATGGAATGATAAGGAGAAGTTTACCAGGCAGACAAGGGAGAAAAATGGGAAGGCATGTGCAGAAAGTTCAACGTGCCTGCAGAGAGGAGGAAGCTACTGATGTGGGGGACCCAGAAAGATGACTGCACCCAGCCAGGAAAGACCAAGCACAGACCAACTCTCAGAGCTGTTTCCAAAACTGGGGCCTGCTGCGCCCCAAAATACCCAGTCCTCTCCCAATCCAAATGTTCATTCATTTGGGTAGCAAATACCTTGCAGGACTGATGTAAAACATGTGGAGAAGAGATTTGGAAAAAATTAGTATGTCTGTTCCTGAATAATAAATTTATATAGATTCTAGTGGCCTTCTCCTCACACTGGCCTCTGAAAAGTCCACAGCAGGAAGGGAGGGAGAGGAAAAATACAAGTTCACTATTTAAACCATGAACTGAGGGTAGAGAAAATGGGTCTCTGTCTGCCTAGCACTCAGCACAGGGCCTAACCCATGTAAGATATTCAATAAGAATTAGATACAGGAGCATGTAAGTAAATTGACAAATGAATAAAATGTAGTGGCAAGGATACCATAGTGGAGAAAGGAACAGGAGAGGAACCAGTCAGTAAGGAATGTGAATCTCAGTTTAAGGGTATCAGTCATTAAATACAGGTAAGATGGAAGAGCCACTGAACCCAGGCTGGTGTATGAGTTTCAACTCAGGGGGAGAAAAAAAAGAAATAAAAGCTCAATACTGATATTTTTTAGTAAGAGCTGTAGGAGAAAGAAAAATACTCCCATTTTGCTTTCCCCAACTCAAACCATTTTAATTCTTTTCTGGATAGATGCATAGAAGGATGGATGGATGATTAGGCAGATGGATGGCAGGGTAATTAAGTCTGATGGAGGAACAGACAGACTTATGGACAGGGACCCCACAGATATCTGAAAAGGATCAACTGTTTCTTTGCTTGTCCTGACTTACCCTGGCCATCTTGAATTGCCCAGCAGAAAAGCACTGCAGAAAAAAATATTCAGTTACATCGCTGGTTGGGTACACTCGTTTACACCCAGGACAGGTGATGAGCTCTGGGACAGGGAGGAAAAGAGCAGAGTCAGAGCAACATGGCAGATTATACATAACATAAGGCCTAGACACAAGGCTTTCTAACACTAAACACCAAGGTATGAGCCAATACCACTTGTGCCAAAATGAACTAGATTTGACTACGACAGCCTGCACTTTCCATCTGGGTCTCTGAACATGACCATCCCACTGTGAGCCTGCCCTACAGACCTCCTTATATCCTTAACTTTGCCTGGTCCTACCTTCAGGTAGGACCTCCCACAAGCCCTGCTTCTACACGTCCAACCCTGCTCTAGCTCTGAAAATTGGGTGCCTTCTGCCGCTCCCACTCCTCTTTCTACAGCCCTGAGAGCTCAATTCCTATTAATGGCTAAGCTCCAGGGAACAAGTTTAGCCCAGGACACAGCTCCAGCCATTAAGGTTAGGGGGTAGCAAAATTACTTTAATGACCTCAAAGCTAGTTTCTAAAAGGCCCTAAGCAGAGAAAAGCAAGGCCTTCCTGCCTGCTCATTTAGAAGGAACTTTTCTCCTGTTATAGCCAGGAGAAATCCCCAGAAAAATGCAACCATCTCCAACACATTCCTCAGCACAGTGGGCGCCTGAACTATATAAGCAGCATCAGACTGCCCCCCTGGAGACAGTAGTGCTCTTCAAGGGCCCAAGAGTAATCAGCTCATCGGGTGTAAGGAAATGAGCCTCCTGACCATGACCAGGTGCCTGTGCCCAAGGATGGGAACATGAAAAGGGGCTGCCTATGACAGTACCACCCCAGTCTTCTCTGTCTCAATCATCAAAAATGATAGAATGGCAGTTGCTCTAGACTTGCAGTCAGACAAATGTAAGTCCAAACACCAGGTTTACCACTCAGTGACCTTGGTTGGCAAGTCGCTTAAACTCACTTAACTCCTCTGTGCTCAGTTTCTTCATATGTAAAACAGAAAGGGGAAACAGGAGTTGCTGTGGGGATTAAATTAGGTAATACTTGAGAAAGCACATGAGCATCCATGAATGTTGACTTTGAGTTCAAGACTTCTCATACCCCATTCATGGCAATGACCTCAATGATCAACTCCCCCAAATGATGACAATCAAATAGTCTGAGAGGTAGATTGAAAAAGTGGCCACAGATTCTTCCCCTTTGTGTGTCTATGCCCTTGCAATCCTAACCATTAAAAGGCTGAGTCTGTTCTCCACCCTTTGAAGCTAGGCTGTCCTCATGATCTGCTCTGACCAAGTGAATGCAGGAAAAGTCACACTGGACAAGTTCCAAGCCTAACCCTCAAGTGGCTCTGCATGGTTCTGCTCTTGCTCTCAGGAACACTAAGACTGCCACGTGTACAACCTCAGGGTGGATTGCTGGAAGATGGGAGGCTATGTGGAGAGAGGCCTCGGTTGTCTCAGGTGTCCCACCCGAAGCCATCATAAGCCTTTTAGCTCCAATTAACCCACCAGCTGAACCCAGACACCAGCATAAGCACAGCTGAGATGAGCCAAGCCTGGTTCAACCCAGCCGAGACTCCCAGCCCAAACGCCAACCTGTAGAATCATAAAGTAGTAGTTTTAGCCACAGTAGTTTTAACCATAATAAGTTTCGAAGTAGCTTATTATGAAGCAAAAGCTAACTGATATATCCTGAAAATAATTCAAAATCCAAAAAATCATGAAAAATAACAGTTTAACACTCTTCCTCCTCTCACTCTTACCCACCCCCACCAAAAAAAACTTTAAAACCTCCCCCAGCCTTCACAGAACCATGGACAGAACTGGATCTGGAATCTTCTAGATAGTCTCCTACCCGTCAAGAACAGTGGCCAGAGATAGAGAAAGATGCTCTCCACAGGAGGCCTCATCCAGGGGAATCAGGTGACTGTTCCTCCCTCCCACCTGTCTCACCCCAGGGAGACCCTACTCATCTATGCCTAGGTCAGAAATGCTTCTCTAATCCTTGAAAATTTCTTCAAGGCTTCCAACTCCCTGGTACCAGAGGCCCACACGTTAGTCATACTAACAGTCTCATTAGCATCACAAAAAAGAGAAATAACTAAATATATCGAAGAAGACCTCGCTTCTTCAATCTTGTGTCCTCTGCCTCCCTTGGCCTTAAGGCCTAAATCCTCAGCTTGGTTCTCAGGCCCTGTCAAAATCTGCCTTATCTCTGTCTAGTAACATCTCTAGCTTCACCTGACACATACTCAATGTCCTTACTGAGCCAAATATCTCTGGATACACCAAACCTTTGCATAATTGTTTGTAAAAGTGCTGTTCCCTCTTTCTGAAATATTCTTTCTTTCTTGTTCCCTCCTTCTGAGATAAACTCCTCTTCATCCTTTCAAACTTGTTCCAAATGTTCTACCTCTGAGAAGCAAGGTTGATTTCCCTTAGGATCTGTTAATTATTCCCTCTTCTGAGTCCCTATAGCACCCTGAACATCCTTCTAGTAAAACAAATATCACAGTGCATTCTAACTATCTGTTCATATTTCTGCATACAAAAATAATCCACAATCGGTACTAAAAGACATTGCATGATTTTTGGCAAATTGGACAATTACGTTTCTTTTGGATTTGGGTATTCCATGTGTATTCCTCACACTCACAGCCACAGAAAGCAGTAAGAAGCCATCTGGGAGCTTTCAGAGTGATGGGGAAAAAAAGGCAGCTCAGGATGATAAAAGAATCAGGTCTGACCCAGAGCAGAGGTGTGGTGAGACACGGGTTCCAGGCCCAGGGTTGTGACTATCTTTGTAATATTGGGTGAGTGACCCCCTTTTTCTGAACCATACTTTCTACATCCTTAAAATGAGTGAATCAGGAATACCAAGGAAGTATGGACTGGCCAACCCTCCTCCTCCTCTGCCTACTGCAGCCAGGCTTCAGAAACAGTCCCCAGGGCAAGATGGGACGGCATAACCAGCCAAACAGCAACCTGGCTATCCAGTCAGTGAGTCGGGGGACGAGCCGGTGCCCTAGCCTGGATCTGAAGGCTCTGCCCAGCTGAGGAGGCGCTGCTGCAGCAGCCAGCAGAGACAAAGAATCATACAGGGTGCAAGCAGGTCCCAGGGAGACGGCAGGTCCCAGAGTGAACACAGAGGACATGTTCTCTGTGTCACAACACTCCTGTCCAGAAATTCTTATCTTCCCTCAGAAGGTCCCTGGTCCCAACAAGCTGTGTCAACGTTGAGCTTTTTTTTTTTAAAAGAGAATTCCCCATTTTTCAACAAGGATACCAAAACAAAATTTTTAAGACAATTGGAATACACACAGTCCAACTCTATGTATGGGTGTGTTATATATCTAAAATTATCAAACATCTACTTATAGATGCTACTTAAGCATCTATAGCTACTTAACATGTAGCTATTCATACCTATTTGAATCACTTATTACATATTATTTAGAAATATTGCTTCCTTTCCATTTGAGTTATTCGAGCAACATCCTTGAGCTTCTATTTCACACACAGGAACATCAATCCTGATAAATGGTCCAAAGGCCACATAACTGTCCCCAAAGGAGAAGTTGCTGGGGCCTAGTGGCCTGGTAGAGTGGCTCCAAAATCCCATCCAAGGATGTTCAGTCAATCTGCTACAAGAGTGAGCACTTGTGGTCCTGCAATGTGTAGGGCAAATTATTCTTTTACCACCACTCTCTGTACCAGGCACTTTTCATGTGTTATTTCATTTAATCATCAAATCACCTTGGAGAGGTAGGCATTGCCCCCATTTCACAGTTGGCAAAGCTGAGGCTCCAAGTTGTTACGCTTCAAAGGTCATGCAAAGCAAGGGCAGAACTACAACCAAAACCCAAGTGTGTCTAAAACCCAGCCCCTTTACTACACTATGCTCCTTTCTAATTAGAGTGTAACTTTTTAAAAAGCTTATTTTAATCAACTAAATAATTTCATTGTAAGTATAATATTCCATAATAATGATCAGACTCTAATGATGATATGGAACCAGCTCTGGACCTGGGAACCCAGAGGAAACTGAGAACCAGCCCCAGCCACGCTTACAGTTTTAAGAAATATGATCTTTTAAAAAGGCAAGTGAAGCAGTTTTTTTCTGGCTGGAGAAAATATATCTGGGGACAGTGTCTTTCTATAGACCAGTGGTTTTTAAGCTTTGTTACATATCTGAATCACTTTTAAACACCCTGATGTCCTGTCCACATTCCATATCAATTAAATACAAGTTTCAGGTGATGGTATCCAGGCATCAGTATTTTTAACCCAGGTGACGGCAACCAAGTTTGAGGACCAGCGCCTTAGAGAGAGCACCCCTCTCCCCGGAGCTAAGCCTAATAGCTCTGTTCCCCGTATCTGGCAGCTGAGAAAGGTAGGCTCACCCAGTTTTAAAGATACTCCAGTAAGTTAAAGATTCTGAAGGCAGCTGTGATATATTTCCCCTCTGACAGAGAACAGCAAAGGCCAGATGCTCAACACACAGAAGGGTACCCTGATACCTAGGCACCCTGGCGGTTGGCAGTGCGACGTGGCAGACATTTCACCTCCCCTAAGTCCCACCTCCACTGAAGGACCAAGGAGCAGGCCTAGGGTACAGCCTGAAGTGTGGCACCACAAGACTGCTACAGCGTTCTAGAGAGTGTGCTGAGCCCAGGACTCAGTGAGGCAGCAAGGGATGGGGGCCAAGACTGGGTAGTCAGACATGAACAGCACAGCCCAGGCAACCTGTGCACCAGGGGGCTGGGGTGGGGAAAAAGCCCAAGAAGGTCTCAGAAAACTAGCATTGGGTCAGCTCAGCTCACCAGGTAGGGTCCCATACACCCACCTCAGGTGCATAAACCTGAGCTTGGTGCTAAGCAACCAGTCCTCTGAAGATTAAACCTTTCGTTCTACAGCTCTTGTCCAGAGCTCCATGAAACTTTGTAGCAGGGGCCCCAGCTCTGACTCCAACAGAGCAGTAGCATCCTCTGAAGCAGCCGGATATTCCTTTGCCAGCTCCTACCTGTAAAACCAAAGCTGGACAGACCCAGCTTTTTTCACT